ATTGGTATGTAAATTAGTTGTGGTAGGTGCTTCTGTCCACACGTAGTTTTGATTACCATGATCACACGATAACCCAGGTTACGTAACGTACAACTAAGTGCCACTTAGTTATTCAAGTACATTAGATCCAACTCGATATTCATATCTGGAAGTTGTTTGTTATTTAAGAAAACGGAACGCTCAGGATTCTCTGGGAATTCGTTTTAGTGCGGGTTACCTATTTCTATTGCTAGTGTGACTTGGGAGTTTGACGACCACTCCCACAAAGTTATAAAAGTCACTGTTTCCTGTCTTTTACTTTGAAGACTTGGTGAAAAGCGAGTGAGTCAAACTCCAACATGGACAACCTGTCAGCCTCAGCAATTTTTGAAATTTAATAGTCATTTCTAAAAATCTGAAGATTTGGAATATGTGTGCTTAAAAAGAGATGAAAACATAGATGTCGCTTATAAATGACTCAATTAATAGTATTGCTAATGCCCTGAATATTTTATTTTTTGTGTCTTATGTTTTTTAAGTTCTTAGGATTATTCTAATCTAACTTACAATTCTTTCACTATTGTTTTGAGTCGTTTCCGATGAGACTATACTTTACGGATGACCTTTGAGCGACGCCAGAGTGATCTTGAGAGTGTCTACCTACTTAATGGGGCTAAATAAGGGTTATAAAGCAGTTTGAGGAATAAAAATAATGATTTACAGTTGATGGTAAGGGTTAGGATTTAGATTTATGGTTTTCATCACGAACTGACGTCAGCTAAAATGCCAAAACGTTACTTGGACAAATGGGTGAGTGAATTTCGCGCCAAAATCCAAAACCTGTTATCCTAAGTCTGATTGGTTCGTCCGTAGAGTGTAGTCTCGCCGATACGGCTAAAGTAGTGAATAAGTTCCAATGGCTCACTCGTTCGTTATTTGAAGTGATCACTCGGTTATATGGTTTTGTGTACAAAGTATTCAGCAAAAATATTTATTATATACTGACATTTTCGTGAATTTGCAGTAGTAATACGCTGAGCGACATCAATTAGTTGGAGGGGTATCGCCATAAAATATATTAGCAGCTGCGAAAATTACAAAATTGAAAATCCCGAAATAAATTAGTAGAAGATCGATAAATAGGTGCCGTAGTAAGATGCATTAGATGATTGAAAGAACTCAATTCAACCACTAATGGTTGAAGTCCTGCTAGAAACTTTTTCCATACATCCTTTTATCAGCGACAGTGCGGAATAGATACAAAAATCTTTACAGTTGTGTACCAAATTAAGATTATCAAATTCCATGATCACCGAAAGTTTACTTGATCTTCAGAAGTGCCATTTATAACGACACACTAGTATCATGTTGACAGAGAGTTGGGAACCAAAAGACCGAAAATGTGACGACTGGGGATGTGATACTACATCTAGTGGACAATTCTTACTCACCAAGCACTTTGATTTTTTTTTCATATCACTTTTAAAAGCCTTGATATATTCAATTATTTTCATTTCCAAACCTTTAAAAATCTCATGTTACTAAATTGAACTCTAATAATCCCAATCAGTGGTTGAACAACCTGGGTAACATGGCTTAAAATAAATGAATGGTGCGATTGTATTCAGTCTTTATCTCCCCATGGATCTTGAGTTTGATATTACACAGATTTCATTCTTTTACCTGACTCATCTTTGGTTCATATTTTTGTATTCGGTTTTCCACCCCAATTGATACAATTAGGGACGTTTATTTTTTTGTCTTGTTAATATTGTTTTATTGTGATATGAAATATGATAACATATAATGGTGTGAAATCACAGTGTGGGGCGGTATTAATGGTTCTTAAATTGGTAACTAAATTTCTGGTGTACACATACAGTTCGATTGTAATTTAGTATGGGTGAATTAGAGTCCCATAGTGATGCTATTGATAATCCGGAATTAATATCATTGTTAAGCAATTGTTCGCTTAACTACGTATGAAATCCTGGATATACTTTCTTTCTACCCTTAATATCACTATTTATTAGTCTTTGAATGATGTACGTTCCCATCTGACTTCCTAGCTATGTTAGTGATTGATTAATATTTCATGAATCTAAACTCCAATTACGCCACAGACGTGTTCGTTTGGTAGCTGTCTTCCCGTCTTTGGGGACCATAGTTTTAAACTACGTCTACTTTAGTTTAGTTAACAACCACCAAGTGCTCTGGTACGACGGAGTGTAGTCAGCTCTTCCTCTCAAAATGCTCTCACATGACCACGTACATATCATATAACCACTTCCAGGGAAGTCCTACTCACTGCCTCCTCGTGGCATTACTGTTGTTTACGAAACGGATAGGGTGAAAAGCGAATGTCCGGCGCTTTAACCGGGTCGGTGGATACGAAGGATCCGCCTAGGGGAGTTAGAAAACCTTGACTCTGAACCAATAGTGCACACTGAATCCAGGATCCTGAAGGAACAAATGACGTATGAACCTATTGTTGGTCACCAGCTACCATGGGACTGCATCTCCTTACATTGCTCGATTGCCTTGTTGATCAGACCATTAGGTCGAATGCGCTGGGCGTGGCCCCTTAAGGAAATCACCTGCTTCAGTCTGGGAGCACAGGCAATATTCCAGCCCTCACACAAATCGAATGATTTGTGTGGCGCATATCTATTTGGTGCTTCCTTGTACCAATGTTTATGTTTTTAAATAAATTAAATAAAATTAGTTAGCGAATAGCACTTAGACACTGTATGATCATTATCCATAGGAGGAATTCAAATATTCACATAGTGTTGTGCTTGGTGTTTTCCGATTTGGAAACAGTCCTTTGTGGCTATTCCTGTTGTTTGATTAAGAGAATGCTAATAACTTAAAGATGCTTATTCCAGGTTTAAATTTTTTTCGTCATTGTATTTTTTTGAGTTTGTTACTAATAAGGTCAATTTTAACCGGAATATGTAACGCTATTCAAATTAGTTCTTCATATGTTTTACTGTTCAGCACTGTCTTTTAGATTGCTTTTTCTTGGGACCTTGATTTTAGTTGTTTTTCTTCGGTTGAAACTTTTCGTAGATAGACCATGTCTTGACATTTCTTGCTATTTGCTTTATTGGTCATTTGCTTGCTTATTTTAATTATCATCTACTGATATATTTGCAATCCTAAATTCTGTTGGTTTGCGTAAATTGTCCTTTAAAATATTTTGTCATATGGTTGTGATTTGCTTTATTTAGTATAATTATCCTGATCATATGCCTATCACACATAATAATGGGTTTGAATAAATTTCACCACTGACTTGTGCTTCTTTTCAATTTCTGAGTTTTGTAAAAGCGTTTTTTCATTGCATATTGCTTGCCATGATATTTATGTTTAAGCTACTTTCTTTATTCGATTAACCCTTTGTCTTTCCCTTTGAACACATTTAAACATTTAACCAAATATCTTTTGGTAAAAATTACTCAATTGCTCAATGTATAAAATAATTAACAAAAAGCGATTATTGAAGAAACAGTTGATTTTGACATTCTAACCCTTTACACGGCTACATCATTTTTTATCAACTTTATGGCACTTCCTACGGCTTCGTTCATTATATTCATAATTCTTTATTATTTCAAGTCCGAATGTTCCATAGAATTCACGCGATGTTTATTGTTCAACGTATATCAAATATACATTCCTGTTAATTGATTAATAAACTTCTAATTAATTCCTGTTTGTAAAGGTGTTCAAATGGTCTGTTTATGTAGTTCCAGATATTACATAAGGCGGGTCTTCCCTCCTGTTTACTTCTCTGTCTAAAAGCCTTATTTCGGAACAGAAGTTAGTGGTTTGATGCATTAAACGCGTTGTCCTCATGTCTCTATAATTTCTACGGAAGAATAATTACAAAATGCTTTCTATTCACGCCGAAACAGCATAGGACTAAATTTAGTTTCTTGATTGCCAAAGTTATACTTTAAACCACAAATATAGAAGGGAATATGAATCGCAAACTGAAAGATGAATAGATAATAGATAAATAGTTCTCAGATGATTCCTAAATTCGTCCCAAATTGAACTTGAAATGGTGGCAAACAGGCAGAATTGTAGAACACTACAACAACAGGAATTCATATTACGTTAATTTTTAAGTTTTGGTTGAAAATTTATTTAAGGGAAGTACACAGAAACTAGTTACTAAGTATGGTAGATTTCTACCACGCTGTCGACTGACTATTTGAAGAGTGTATGGTCAAACGTCTGAAGACCATTTTCCGTAGGAATCTTTCTCTTCAATAAAGGACTAGACTTTTAAGGTAATATTTAAACCCCACTATATGCTACAATTTCCGATTCAAATCTAAAACATGTTTCTAAAGTTACACAAATAACAAGTGAACTCTTATTTGTATCCAGATTGTATGATTATCCGTAAATATATATCTCGTCTAATTTTTTAGAATGAATATCGTGCTTCGAATTTCGAACTTTTGATTTCTTCCTGATATGTATGATTTTACCAATGCATGATTCATGCTATAAGTAAAGATTTTAAGCTAAATTTTACCACATATTTAACTTCAGTCGCTATCGAACTACCTGTACATTAATTGGTCGCCTCAACATTGTACATGCTTATCGTTGTGTGCCTCATGGTTCTTTTTTTACTTGATTTCTTCTTAGTTGTCTGCACAAATTAAATCTTTTCAAATCTTTTGTTTTTCTGGTTGGATAATGATTTTCGGTGGATTAGTTTTTATATTCCTCACAGGATGATTTTCTATCTTATCAAATATATGTTTTTCAATTTACACTCGTCATTCAGCCAAAAGACTTCCATACCTCATTCTTTTTCCTGTTTGGCAAAATTCATAGGATGAATTCATCTTCGGCTGTTGTTTTCCTCTGAAGCTGAACAACTAGGATTATTGTTTATTTGATGTTGAACTTTTATCATGGTCAATCTTTCTGTTTGGCTTGAATTCTGTATAGTGTGATCTAATGTTTCACGCTTCACGTTTTACGCGTCGGTGGTAATGGATTATTCGTGTGGACTCGGTCCTCATTTAAGTGGGTCACTCAAACGAAGCAACAATCCTCGACGTTCTATTTCTTCATCAAAATATATTGGGGGAATTGACTGGCGTAAGTTTGTAAAATTCTTACTTCATTGCACTCATTAGATTTCTTGTTATTTCTCACTATTCTCTGCATGCGTTTGAGTTTCCGCTAATCATGCACATGTGTCTTTTTACTCTAAAAAATGTTACTTCGGAAATTAAGTTTTTAATTTGCCTGGTTCGTATGTACAGAAGGCTTAACTGTTTCATGTCTTGTATTCATTTCTCTATCTTAATTTGATTTCTGTTTTTTGACGATTTCGTCTTTTGTGTACGGGTAAACTGAAATGCTTTGAAGAATGTAGAACTATATTTTCGAACGTTACAATGTCGTTTTTAAGAATGTCTTAATTTGTTAAACGAATATTAGTTTAATTTTTTCAGTTTTATTATTCATTAATTTGACATTATATCTGGCGTATTATTATGGGTTTTTTTCATTGGGAAGTCAGCATTTGTCAGCGAACAATGTAGTTCTTGTGAGTGATGTGAGACAGACTTAATATCTCTTTTATCAGAAAAGAAAAATTACTACAAGAAATAGCATTATGTGTTTAATTGTTGGTTTTAGATTTAGTTACTAATTTCGGTACTCACAGAGGGTAAATATGAGAATGATGAAAATGTATAGTTTACGTAAAGTAGTGTTGTTTTTACAATGGCATTTGTTCATCGTTTTTTAATGTCTTTTAGCTTTTTCTATGACCATCACATATTTGTGTTTTTGATAAACTTATGCTTCAATAAATCATTAGAAATGATACCTTAATATATTTTCTGGTTGTGCTCAAGTGCACGATGTATACATTATATTTAGACGGAGTTTGTTTGAGATGGCTGATTTTACAGTTAGTTTTTATCATGGACTAAAACCGATCGGAGAACCTCTGAAAAGGTGAAAGTCTTTGGTATGACCTGGTATATTGTCCTGAGTGTGCATTTACTCTAGAGGCACTAGTTAGGACTAAATAGTCGTCTAGTGCTCTCTGGCTTTCATTAGTTATTGCCAGTCCTTGGTTCAAATACAATGTGATTTAGATGAGGTAGCGTTGTCAACTTTTACGTTTGAAGCACCAGAAATTATGATTTTTAGCTTCGTTTTTGACATGTCATTCAATTTGAAATATAAATAAAATTTTGCATTGTTTATCTGGAAAAGTCTAATGTTACCAACTTAAAAAGTTCTATGAGCACCTGGAAAAATTGATTGAAAACGCTCTTAATGTAGCTTAAATATCGGAGGTGAATTTATTGTATAAAATAATGGGTTAGTAAATGACACGGTCTATGTACTGATTCAAAAGGTCACTTTGAATTTTGTCAAGTGACGTCGCTTTTGGGGAAAGTAAGATTTCTTTACACCTATTAAGTAGCAAGTATACTGTACAAAAGTTCCTTTTGTATTACTTTATAATTGTAAAACGTAACCTTTAAAAGAGATTAAAGTACTTTAATTAGAAGTTTCTTCACAAAATTGCTGGCTTGTGAAGAAATCACTGAATGGGGAATGCTAATGTTCTGAGTTTAATATCAAGTAAATTTGAATTTTTGATCTGTAAGGCTATTAATATTAACCGACTTGATTAGTTGTGAGATGTGTTACGATTTCGTTAATAGCGATTGCCATAAAATGTTCTGTCGACTAGTACAGAGGTGGGTTGAAAAGGAGTAACAGTGGTTAGATCAATGATATAATATACGTTTGTATAATCATTTACTGCTGCTCATCAATTATGGTAGCCCTTACTCCTAAAGCGTGGCTCATACATAAGAACCTGGTGAATAAGCTAATCTTTTTCTCTTATATATTTATGGGACCCACCATGATTGACCTACTGAAGTACTTTGATAGGTTTATATCAAGAAATAACTATCTTTAGTCAAACTGACGTCACAGGTGTATTTTACTTCTATTCTTAGACTGATTACGTGACACCAATACATTTTAGAATTCTCTGTAGGTAGAAACAAACCCTGTTGAACAAATCACCTACGTAACTACCATTACTATTACTGTCCAAATTATTTGGGAAAAAGCAATGTACTTAACAGAGGTACTTCATGTAAATAATGTGTTATTATAAATCTTCAGTTAGGATGTTTAGATTGAGTAAACCAAAGATGATATCACAACAAATCATAGAGTTCAGTTAATAACTTGTTGATTATTTTCAATCCAGTTGATATATCGTCATCTTGTTTTGGAATATTAAGACTGAGTGAAGGTTTATGCTGTTCAGTCTCACCTTACCCAAACAACTAACTTGATATACTGGTAACTGGTTTACCTTACCTCTCAGTTTTGCAATGCATAAATCTTATCAGTTGTACTAACTATGGTAATGATAATGACAATAACAATAATTTTCTCTTCATCAATAAATACTTCATGAAATTCTGGACTTATGCACTTTTTCTTCACAGTGGTAGAATATTGTAATGCATACTTTTATTTTCTTATTTTTTTATTGCTATTCAATACTCTGAATAAAAAGATTCATCATTTACTTTTATTTGGGTATTTACCATTATATCCCTAGACCTATAAATCCATGATACTATATTATTTATTAATAGGTGGGAAGAGAATCAATAGCACGAACCAAATATTAAAATGCTTTCAAATAGTTAGGTGTAGAATAATAAATCTTTCAATATTTATATTAAGTGAAATAATACACTATAACTAATAATTAAACTGACCGGGCATTTCAATCGTCTTGCTTTATAAAAGAAATCCAAAAGTATTCATGTGGTAAGTTCAGAAAAAGAAGTCAATAACTGATCTCTACACCCTTTAAGACTCATGTTTATTCGATAGAAAGTCGAGAATGACAAACGCTGAATAATTAGTGAACTTGGAGACAACTGAGAGTGCATAACCTTTTGACTATTCACTGTGTGTTGCAACGTATGTTTAAGTAGTGACTCTATACATTTTTCATATTCTTTAGTAAAGGATATTATCAAATTTTATCAACCAAAAGTTCTCGTGGAAGTGTGTCTTATTAGATTTGGTATTATGTTAATGTATTAGGTTTTTATTTATAGCAAAATAGAGAATATACAAGACTGCTGTTTTCAACACATACACACACTAATATATATATATATATATATATATATATATATATCAGTAACCACTTTTATCATTTGTCTGTACTACATGGCCGTTCCGATCACGGATATTTGGTTACCAGTGGTTTGGGAGCACATCTGCCGTACAATAAATAAACTAGAAGACAAATCATCTGAGGAAACTAGGGAATATAATACGCATAACAAAACGCTATGTTTGCATGTTTTAGAAATACCTCGGACTAATGTGTGGTATGGTTACTGCAGGTTTTTGAGATGAAGTCTACATATAGGGGGGAAATCAAGCGTTTAATATAAAGTGAAGTAAATCAGGAACAATAACTTTGTCATTTTGTTTATCCATGGTTTCATTCTGGTTTTCGTATTCTTTCTAAATCACTTAGTGTTATCGTTGTCATTTTCTTCTCTTTGCCGCTGTTGTGAATTGATCAATGTCCCAAATATAATTGACATTTACATCCTCCCAAATATTAAGCAAATATATAGACAAATGATGGTTATTATTTAGTCACAAGTAGTTTAAAATGTAAAATAATGATGACGGATTGTAATACTAAGTGCAAAAAGACATTGACTGATTATATATGACGTGTTCTCACGCCAACTTAATCGTTCAACCTTGTTGCTTCTTGATAATACATGTTTTATGTTATTACCATATTTTACAATAATTTCTTTCAGTGCGTTGTGTTAATTTTTTTGTATGTATGGTAACATAGTATTGTTTTGACTCCGGTTTCTGTTACAGACGATAAAATGTTGAGGAAAATTCGTGGGGCCTTTGAAATGAATAAACTATTGATCAATATATAATGTGTAGCGATATTATGTGGCCAGCTGATAAGTGTTTACGAGACCGAATTTTTGACCCATTTCCCTCAATTAACTTACATGAAAAAAAAGTAAAACCATCAAAATAAGTTTTTCTGAAATGGCAAAATGATATGTTTAGATATTGTAAATTTCAAACATAAAATATATGCATGATTATGTTACTCAGCAAATAACTGATTGGAGGTCATGAATTTTTATAGATCAATTACTCCTTAATATAAGTAATTCTTAACCGTCATATTAGTTTCTTATTATTCAATCAGATTTTTAGCCTTTTCCAATTTTAATATCTGAACTTCTATCTAAGGTATAATCAACTGGTTACATCTTTGAGGAAAGGTGGCTCAGTAGTTAAGACGTTGGACTTTCATCTATTAAGCTTCAAGTTCAAAACTCGCTCCATCTACTTTGGTTCGGTCATGAAGATAGATTTACTATTTCTCATGCTTGGAGTGTAGTTTGAAGCTAGATGCACTAGCCTGTGACTGGTAAATCAATCAATAATACATATACTCTTCTAAAAGTAACTTTGACAGCTAATATCCAGTGAATAGGTGTTTCTTCATATGATGATTACTAAAAAAAGGAAATAGGAATAAAGGATAGGTGTTGTACACTCTGATATTCTTTTTTGTAACCGTAAACTTTTTATTGTATTCATATTCGGTTAAAGATATTTTTAATTATGATAGCTTGAGTAATTTCTAGTTGTATAAAATTTCTTTTTTAATCTGTTTAGACGCATAATGATTTCTTGGGTTATTGTGTGCTCTACTGATTTGGTTTTTTGTTTACTTTTGAATTAGTTTTGGTGTTTTGTTGTAAATACGTTTGTTTATGTTCACGTTATTTTTTACACATATTTATTTTTTTCAGAGCTACGCAATCAATTTACAGAACAGTTGAAATGTCTAGATCTTAAATTAGATATTGATTCTACTGTAGTCGCTGAACTTCAGGATTTTTATCGTCGACGAGCTAGTGTAGAACAGGATTATTCCGATGCCTTAGCTAAACTTGCCAATGGGTTAAAACAACGTCATGTGAATGAAACAACAAAGTAAGTTCTTTCATTTATCGATTTGTGTCGTTGATTGTTTCATGCTTTTTGCTTTCCGACTGAGAATACTGATGGTGGTTTTGTTTCATTATAAGGACAATAGTATATTGATAGACACTTCCCTGTTTTATGTATTCAACTCATAGAATGACCTAGTCAATTTCGTCTTCTTATAAAGTCTGTTGATAGTTTATTTTTATCCTTAAAACAAACTGTTATTTCGGAAACAGTTTATTGTTGCAATATACTATGATTGTTTCAGCGTATTGTTGTATATTATGGTCAACTCGATCATTTCGCCATTTTATTATCATAGTCAACTTTATTGTGTCTTTTAATCTTCAGGGAATTCGTTGTTTGGTCATGTATCCGTGAATTTGAATGTGTATCGAATGTGTGGTCACGTTCTTTAATGAGTGTGATTTGGTAGTCACATTCTGACTTAATTGTTAGACTATAATTCACACATAGTGTATGTTAGTTCTTTTTACTGCATGCATGTGTACACATTGTGTTACGTAAAGCAGACTTTTGACTTAGTGATAAAATTTTCTCCAAACTCTCCTCTTTTCTCAATTTCCTGTTGATGTTATTGAAGTGTATTGATCGCACATAATATTCTTGCATTGTTCCTTTGCACTATTTAAACTTGGATTAATTTTGATTTGGTTATTTATTCTCTGAAGAAGCGGCTTACACTGAGTCACGAAACGTCAGAATCTAATTTTTCTACTCGTTGGGATATTACGAATATATTATTTTATTTATTGAAGTGCATGTTGATTAATTATTGTTTTCATCAGTATTTAATCCATACTACTGCAAAAAAGTAGGTCGTACTTACTTCGTGGGTAAATTTTGACAGTGAACATTGTCGCTATCAAGTTGTTGAAACGGTAAAATAATTCGTATGATTTGGAATGATTTATTTTGAGAGTTTTACGTGTTCACATTCACGAGCTTCATAATGAACCCTAGTTAATTGTCATTAATCATACATTTATAGTAATTTTCTACTTCATACATGGTTTATATTCTTTCAGTATTTCATATGACTTAATCAGGTTTCCTCAATTCATTTATGTATTATGGGAATATTTAATCTGGTCATCCTTATCATAGTATATTACATGTTATATTTTTGTAAAATTAAACAAGGAATATGATAATTTTAAAATGTATTTTTTGTTTATTACCAATGTTTCACCGTTTAGTATCATTCGATAATATTAAATATAATATTTCTCCTGTGATTATAATCTTAGAAATATTGTTAATTCACTGTATTGATCTTCAGCAAACGTTAAATGATGAACGGGTATTTATGCATCGAAAAGTGTTTTGTATCAGTGTGCAAATGTCAATTCATTTCTTTGAAATTAATAATAATAGTAGAATTCTAAATTTTAGGAAAGTTGGTAACCACACTGAAAAAAAATATATATATAGTTGTTAATTACACCTTATTTTCACTTTTAATCAGTCATGTATAATTTATGCTTCAGCTAATTGATTTATCGATGTAGTTTAAATTTATTGTTTTACTTTAAAATATAATCAAATTAACCATGATCCGTGGTTGGAGACGTCAAGTGATTTGGTTCAGAATCAACGATAGTGATATAGATGAATTTATGCTTTATCTTCCTTTAGGTCTTGTGTTATAATTTTCCTTCGTACAAATCTTTCCATCCTATTTAATTTTGTTGACTATCATTGGTGTTACAATTACGCCAAATCCTTTGGTATTCATCTTGTTAATTTTATTTTGTTGTGTTAATACGGTATGAAAACGTGAGCTAATGTTCATTTTTGCCTAGGTTCTACGTTAATTGGGTTGTGGCCCCCTAAGAAAACCACCTGCTTCGGTTTGGGCACCCGGACAGTATTCCAGCCCCCACGCAAATCGAATGATTTATGTGGCGCATATCCGTTTGGTGCCTCCTTGTACCTATGTTTATGTGTTCAAATAATAATAATAATAATAATAATAATAATAATAATAATAATAATAATGATCTGTGTTAATTACAAACCTTGATTTTGCCGATTATCTTTGATTTTATAATTATAACAAAAACATGGTATAATACAATTTCTGGTTAACGATTTCTGTTATTGATCCATTATTTCTTTTGTCATTTGTTTTTCTAAAAGAAAGTAGGATTAGATTAATTAGGTATTTTTTACTACTGAAGTTTCATCTTTGTTTTCACATAAGATGCTCCTTTTACAATGTAGCTCCATTAATTGCTCTATTTAAATTTTGTAGAATTTTTAAAGGCAGTTGAAGTAACTAATCTCCTCAAATTATAATAGTTTGATTATTTTCTCTTTTTTGTTTTGAAAATATATTTAGACGCCCTCATTGGGCGCCTTATACAGCAACCACCATATGGAATACATTACTTGGTTCAACATTACATCTAGCTGAAGCTCATGCAACTTTATCTGATATTTTTTCGAAACAAATGGTTCAACGTTTAGCTGATATGGATGAAGATGCTGTCCGTTTGCACAAACAGGTAAAGTTTTTATTTTGTGTGTGTAACTAATTACAATAAGCTTAACTTTTCTGTTTCAACATATCATATTTGAGCCACTATAATTAGACTATTAATAAAGTTTTATTGACTTTTTTGAGCATAATATTTTGTTTTATTGTATTAGTGTTATATCTTGGTAATTTTTCTGTTGGATTCGTTAGATTCACATTAATTTCTAACTAGGAACTGTTGAAATTTATTTAATACGAATTCTTTATTACAGCCACTGACACACGACAACACATCAAAGTTAACAATTCACATGTCCATAAGAGATAAAGAAGGCTTGACTTTCACCATATCTTTATATAATGAACAGATGTCAGAAAGGCCAAAATTGAAGTGGAATAGCTCTGTTTATACAGCAACTTAGTAAAAGTAACATACTAAAGATGATAACAACCAGTGAGAAAACTATAAAGGTCTTGCAGAAATATGAACGAGAAAAATGTTATTACAGTTATAATTACGAAGAAATTAACATTTATTAACAAAAACTAGATAACCTGGAGTCTTCTTAACAGTAAATTTAAATCAAAATATCCTCTTTTGTCGTGTATATATAATTAGAATTAAATAAAAAGATTAATAAAGGTTATCAGATGATTTTTCTTCATGTTTTATTAGTTATTAATATTATCATAACAAACCACGAGTTCTTTCTGCCTGATTTTACGCAAATTTTGTCATCCTCTTTCATATGTTCTTGCAATATACTTGATAATTTATTTCATTTATTTATAATATTATACGATATACACATTAGGCTTTCTTATCAATTCTTTTTTGTTTGTTTCAGTGTTAAATGATATTGTAGTGAAATCACAAATAATTATTGATGCACAGAACTGTTAGCGTAAAAAAAGGGATAAAAGTGTATATTGTTCAAGGTAAAATACCTCTTAGCAAAACATTAAGGTAAAATTTACAAAATGATAGGAATGTTAAAATAAATTGGTAGGTAATAGAAAATGAGTGATAATTAGATGAAGCACTGAAGTTTCAGTTGGTAAGAAGTTAGTATATCTTGTGCATTGTATTTGATCACGAGCCTTGTAACATACGCTCTTCAGCCACATATTTTTATAATCCAGTAAATTGGAATCTCCCTACACTACTCATGGTCTGATAAAGTAGTTTTTTAAGCGAATGCTGTGAATTTGTAATTGGTTACCTTTCGTCACTATATATTTATTTACTGAGTGCATAACATTTATACTTTAATAGTGAGCTACATTTCTATAAGTTTTCTGATAAATAGTTTAATTACACGAAAGTTTGGCGCCAACTTTATAGAAAATAGTGTTAAGTTTGTAAAATCAAGAAATTAAAGTTTATTCTTCTGTTTGCCTCATCAGTAAGTAAGTAATTCAACTAAGTAATCATGTACTTATATATGCAATCGACATTAAACCACTTTCCAGTTGTTGTCGTGTGATGCTCTTTGCAACTGTACAAATTAAGGTAATAATAGTGGGGTTCGATTATTTCATTTTATAGTTGAGATTTGAACGTCTTAACTATAACTTCACTTATGAGTATAATCATAATGACATTCTTGACAAATATTATCCTACTATAACTTCCTTCCGCTCTAAACCAATCAACCTTGCTACATTTTCAATATCGAAAACTTCGAAAACTGTATTACTCACTATTTGGTATGCGACAGTTTGTGACTGCTACCTACAAATACGGTTTCACCTTGAAATATGTAGTTTGTCAGTAATTTCTAGTTGATGGTCAAGTGTGTAAATGTGTCTGAACATTATTATGATCACTTAATTCGTCAAGAATATTTACATTTTTATCTATCCAGACGCGTTGATTGATTGATATGTTTGGTTATGCTTATTGGAGAATGATTTTGAAGAAATCCATTTCACTCACTGTATATTTATATGTAAAGGTCATTCTAGAACTTATTATTTAATCTGTGAAAGTCTTACTTTATTACTAACTAAATAGGTCATGATTATTTTTATTTCAAAATAGTTTCATTCCATTCACTTATATTGCTATTTGATGACATTTTTGTATTCTATAGAATTGTCTGAATACCTCTAGAGTATTTAGCATCATTTGTGGCGATGTTTATGACCATTAACAATAAAATAAATGAATAATTTTTTGGTTTCATTATTTTTCACTTCTGAATTGATTTCAGTTGAATGAATTGTAATAGTAACGAAAGTAATTAAATCAATATAAAAGTCAATGTTTTGATGCAATATAAATTAGTTCTTGTTTAGATACTTTGTTTTTTATGTCTTCGTCTCTTTTTTATCCAGGCACTCATTTTTCATTCATTCTGTCAGGGTCGAAACCTATCTGTGCTTTTCACATTTCAGTTCCGTTATAGTCTTCTTGTGTAATTGTTAGTCATTTTATTTATTTAAACACAGATATTGGTACGAGGAGGCACCAAATACATATGCGCCACACAAATCTCATTCGATATGTGTGAGGGCTGTGATACTGCCCGGGTGCCCAAACCGAAGCAGGTGATTTTCTTAGGGGGCCACTCGCCGAGCCTTCGACCTGAATGTCTGATCCACAAGGTAGTGGAACATCGTAAGGAGATGCATACCCATGGTAGCCGGTGACCAGCGATTGGTTCATACGCCATTTGTTCCCGCAGGATACTGGAGCTCATGTGCACCATTAGTTTGGGATCCGGTTAAAGTGCCGGACATTCGCTTTTCGTCCTCTCATTTTCGTAAACAAAACCCCCGCCACGAGGAGGCAATGAGTAGGACTTCCCTTGCAGAGGCTATATACGCGTGGCCATGTGTGAGCATTTCGAGAGGGAGAACGGAATCTCCCCACTCTCAGCCATACCAGGGCATTTGGGGGCCATTTAGTCATTTATTCACTAAATTTTTGTGCTTGTGACGTCGCATCATATTATTTTAAAAATATTTGTTTTGATACATGTTTAGGAATATCTTCTTTCAAACTCACTGTATATTTCTAGATTTCACTAATTCAATACTTAAATGGTGTATGCTACTTACGTTGACAGTATGTAACACCAATTAGAAGTGGAATATATAGCAGCATAAGATTGAGAAGATCGATCTGAAGACAGCAGAAATGTAAACAGAATAATTGTAATAACAACAGGAATGAAGGAACAATAAAGTTTTTAAGAGATAACTGATATAAGATCTGCAAATGATATATTTAATATATGGTTTTCACATTTCACGGAGGCATTCTGTAATTTTGCATTGGACAATAAATCGGTTATCCCCCAAAAATGTAGTGAAGGGAGACTTTCATTCATTCCTGTTGTCTTCAGTTCGATCTTCTCAATTCCACTTTCAATTGGTGTTACATACTATTTATATCTGTCGACGTGTGTAGCATACACCACACTTGTATCATTATCTTTGGTTCTTTTAATTTTTAGTTAAATTCCCTTTGTTACTCCTTTTTTTAAATTGCATCTTATCGGACCTATCTGTGTTTGTTCCAGATTTAACGTTTTTACATCTGTCAAGTTTTTGGTTATTTAGAAATGAATTAGACTGAATATTCTAGAAAATATTTTATTGTTGCTAAAATACGTTCAATCATGTGAAAGGTTATGTCAGTAGTTACTGTACTTCGAATGATGGAACGCTAAAATTCCTTGTTTTTTTTCTCAGGATGCCTGTAATTATTGGTTAGTTAGGTTAAGTACTAATTGATGTACCATGGAATATAAACGATCGGTTACCAACTCAGTGGTCTAAAGGTTAAGTGCCCATCGTAAGACCCGAATGTCTTAGGCTTGGTCCGCAGATGGACCAGGGCTACGTACTGTAGGATGCTCTTATCCACTGGTTGTCTGAACAATTTCAGTTCGTGATTTAAATTATGAAATTTAACAGGCTTCACAAACCCCTTAAACCAATAAATACTAATTACTCGAAAATTATTGTTATACTTTAATCAGATCATCGGGATATTTAGTGCTTTATAGAATAATCTAACATGAAATGTGTACGACGTTTTTATTCTAATACAGCTGAACACGTCTGTATTTAACTTGTTACAACATTGCTTGATGCTCAAAAGTTATTGTTGATTATGATGGATATAATCATATCAGGAATACTTAAATAACCACTTTTTTGTCATGAAGAACATTATTATCAACAAAATTATATGAAAAGTTAAATAGCAAAGAATTGAGGTTGGAACTTACGAAATAAAATGAATTAATGTTTTTCTGTTCAATTCTTTGTTCTTGTTCTCTTCAAGATAATGAGGGGAAATTAATATATGAAAATTATGTAATCTAGGCAACAATTGTTCATCAAAGTATCATTGCTTTGTATTTGATTCAAAATATTGTAAAATAACTGCATAGCATCAATGCATCCATAGATCGGAGTTGTCATATTGAAAATCAATACGCCTACCTGACGAATGAGAATCAGTTAGTTATGTGATTACTTGTCTTCTTATTAATGTCCACTAAGTTGTTCATCAGTTTCTTCCTTCTGGTTTATTTCAACGCTTTTCTCTCCTTTTTTCGTTCCTCGCTTATATCCTCTTGTCCTGTGAATAATTTAGAAGCTTGAATCGATAAACTCTTGTTCAGACTAACTTGATCTATTCACCTATCTATCTATCCATCCATCAGAAAACACTGTTTTTCACTTAGTTTCATTATTGAACTTATTGTGTCTATAATCTTATCAACATAAATTTTGTTGTCAAACCTAATAAAGAGAGTTTTTTCTAAATGATTGACAATTTAAACGCTTCCCGATAGTTTAAATAGAAAATCTATCCCCTGTACTTATGAAGGGTGGTGATAAACTACTCAGCTATCCAAATCCATCCCAAAGTTTTGGTGTTTTAACCTTTATATCAACACCCACCCATTTTTTACCAGAATGTTATCACTCGATTAGTCAGAACGGCGAGACTATAATTTAAGGACGAACCAATCAGGTATAAGATATCAGGTGTCAGATTTTGGTGCGAAATTCACCCATCCATTTGGCTAAATAGAGTTTTGGCACTATAGCTGATATCAGTTCGTGATGACCACCCTAAATCTAATTCCTAACCTTAACAACCGTAAATCATAGTAAATCATAATTCCTCACGCTCGTTTATAGCACTCATTTGGACTTGTTATCAAGTGAGCACTCTCAAGGTCATTTTAGCGTCGCTCAAAGGTCGTCCATAAATTATAGTTTCACCGATTTGTAGTTCAGGTGGATTATTCAGGCTGCGTTTTCTCTGATCTGGATGGTTTGGTCATAGAGCTTGGATTGTTCGTCCGAACAACATCATCAACCCCGACGTCAGGGAGAATTTTGTGTTGGTGATGTTTTCTAGATGAACAACGAAAGCTCTACAACCAAACCACCCAGCTCAGAGAACAAAACTCCACCTAAGATGACATACCAAATATTGAACTCTAGAATAAACCTTATTAGGAGTCATTCAACAAACAGGATTGAAAGATGTGACAACTTTAGATCACTCAATTTTCAGTAGAATTAATCCCTGACTATCAGGTTTAATCCTTGCCCAATCACATCACAGTGATTTTATTTATTTGTCTTTTTCTGCATTACATAATAGTTTTAAACTTACCGATTTCATAAAATTCATTGTATTTCACATGAACCAATATATTGTCTTAATTGTTTATTCGATGAACGTGTGAAAGTGAAATTCTTATAGAAATATTTACCTTCTTGATTTGTGTAGGTTGTGCAATTAGAATCATACTTTGCCTGTTTCTGTGATTCACCTGGTCTGTATTAGTCATGGGGACTGTATGAAATGTAAATAGAAATGGAGCTATCGCTATATATGTGCATTTTTGTAGTTGTAAGATTATTGGCTACAGTCAACGAAAGGCAGATAGCTGTATGTTTCAGTCAGGCGAACGTTGAGACTGTTTGAATGATATTTAATCATTGTAAAATCTGAAATTGTATATGTTAGCTGTTGTAAAATATGCCAAAATTACTTAGTTTAGCAATGATCTTACTTTTTCTGTAAACGTTAGGAGTGAATGTGTAAGAAAGAATAACAAGTATAATAGTAATCTTGTTAATAACAGTTTTAAAGTGATAATTAACCATTCAAATCTGTAGGTAAATACACAGTAACTTCAGAAAGTGGGAATACTATGTCTGGAGAAGTTGTTAGTGTTGGATTTTGGTTTATTTGATCTCATCGTACCTTTAAAACTAGGAAACTAAACATTTTTCTACATAATATTACTTTAGATAGTTAAAATAATAGCAAATCTATGTATGTCACTGTAACAATATACTCAATTAATGAAGGGATTTTATGGTGATTGGTTTGGCTTGTAAATAATATTCGTCATGTATTGATTTTATTCAGGGTACCATTGAAAACCAAGTAGCATTTGATGTCTGTTTCGTCTTTGTGAAGAACTCAGACGTGGGTATATACCAACCTTCCGAAAATCAACCCCGGGACTTTTAATGCTCATAGCAAGCTTCTAACCAATGTGCTTCTAGATTGGCATCTAGTGGTACATATTTTCGACTTCAATCGATTCATAATGTAGCGCGATGATCACTTAATGAAATTGATGGGTACGGTTTCATTCGTAACATTTGATTTTACCGGTCACAATTTATCACTGAAATTTCAGGGGGTTATCTCAAGCCACGATTATGATATTCATAGTTTTTCTAAAGATCGGTTGAAATTGAACGTGGTTCACGTTACAGACTGACCTAAATTGTGAGTAACCATAGTGTTATATGATGGATTGGTTAAAGTTGGAAATATGTACCAGTAGATACTAACTTATTAATATAATAGTTAAGCGCTGATCGCAAAACCTAAGGGTTTTGCATCTGATCGCCGACAGAGTCATGGATGTTTACTCTCGAGAAGTCCTATACTGAGACGAAACAGCTGTCTAAAGTTCCTTGTTTTTCCACAGTACCTCAACTGAGGTCACTCCGTGACAAATGCCATTTGAAAGTCTGATTAATTATTTGCAATTTTTTTCAATTATCATCGAACTATGTAAAAAGCATCAAGCCCGATTTTCGTTCTAATTTGATGTCAGTGAAACGTTTTCGCTTTATTTGTATAGTTGATAAAAGATATATATGTTTGTATTTTATTTGTGTAGTGTCGTGAAATGATGTCCTCATGTCAAGATCGTGTTTTAGCCAATACTACTAAACTCCAGGCCGATCAACGTGAATATGCACATAGGCAAGCCGCAGCATTAGAGGCTGATCGAATCCGTCGTCGTGCTGAAGATAAACTGTTAGCTGCTAATCAAAAAGCCCGTAGTAAAGGCAAAGATCCTGATAATAGTCAACGGTCTATGCGAGCTCAAAATGAATTCGACTTGGTTAGTGCACAGATATAATAACACTTTTGCTTATATCATGATAATAGATTTGATTTTAGATGGATAATATATAATTTCTTTTTCTTTCTCACCATGTTTTTTTCCTTCAGTGTTGTATGAGAGTGCCTACTTACAATGAGAAATTTATTTTAGTGGTTTTACGTATGCGATTTCAAAGTTTTTTACTTTCATATTCTCATTTTAATGTTTGGTTTTAATATGTAGGTATGTTGTTAGATCCCAATAACTATTCTGAAAACGGATGTACGCTAATGTGTAACATAACAACTGAAGAAATTGAAATAGAAAGGCCGTTATTTTTTCGTAGTACAATACGAAAGCAAAACGGTGCTTAAACAAAGCAGAACCTCATTTAGTAGTGTAGAGTACTCCAGTTTGCAACATGTCATAAATGACTTTTTGTCGACTTTTTCACCTATATACATTGTTTATCACTGATTATTCCTGTTCCCTTTGTCGCTCAGTTTTTGCTTTCTACAAAGTTACCTAATCAGTCTGTCTTCTCTCTCTGTCTATGCATCAAATTATTCCACCTACGATTGATTTTTTGTATAGAACTAGATTATGGATTTATAAAATGTATTTATTCTTAATCATAATCTTCGGTGTTATTGTTTGGTTATTTTCTATCGATATACCAAAGATGATTTGTACTGAACATTTTGAACCTGTTTATTTTCTCTTTCTTTGCTTGCTTTTTCGCACTTGTATTATTTATCTTGTCCTTACTTTTACTGTTCATATAAAGAAGGATGTACAGATATTTCTATTTTTCACATTGTATGTCAATAATGGATAAAAAAATTTTCTAACCATTCATCTGAAGAGATGTTAACATTGGATAAGTTAAGTTGGAAAGTTAACAATAAATAAAAGCATATAATTTATACGATTTGTTACAAAAGCTATCTTTCCTTCGGTAGTTGTATGAACAATCAATACGCTGAAGTTTCCAAGAAGTACCTAAAAGTGAAAATCTATCTGGTTTATTAAATTGTATTAGTTTTCCTAATACATTTCATCATGACATTATAAAAATCTTTTTTATTATTAAACAGCATGATTAACGTGAGTTATTCTCGTTCATTGGTGTATACCGAACTAAAGATTTGTTTGAAGTTGGTAACCGAAAAACCACGAATAGTTGTTCAATCTCATATTTTCTGCACTTGAAAAAATCATATGGATCTCAATTCTTATTTATTTAATTGAAATAATCCTGTTACAACATTGAGAAACGAAGACTCAGCATTTCTTCAAAAATATTAATGCACAGAAAACTAACATTGAGTGGTCGGGGGTCTATGAATTTTTAAAGCTGAATGCCTTTGGTTCAGAAGAAAAATTGAATTCACTCTGTATTTTCGAGGCCTAAATTAGCCAATATCTGTCTATTTTACTGTACTTTTGTACGGTTGTCATTAATGACATTGTCGAATTTTCCTTTACTTTTATTCTTCCGATTCGTGTGCATGGTAAATATGGTCTCTCAAACTAAGCGAGTAAATGTTCTCTCATCACAATAATGTAAACTTTTAATCTTAGTTCCCAAGTTTCCAATGAGTCCAGAAATGCTTGAAACTAAATTTGTTTTGTCAAGTCAGAAAACACTATTTGATCACTCAGATCAAAACAGATATAAATGCAGTATAAATTTACAATTCAGTTGTCTAAAAGAATGGAGGTTTTGGCATTGAGCTAACGCTATTTTACGAAATAACGTAAAGAAAATCATTTTAGAGATAATAAAACTTGCGATTGTCGTACATTTTTGTGGTGTCTTAAAGGGTATCTACCAAGTTTAATTGATGTTGAATAGTAGTAAAATTTAAAATATAAAATATCCGTGATGTTAATCAATTCTATGTATTTGACATTGACTATTTCCTGCTTACTTTGTGTTGAAAAGTCAAGAACGATGCGAAATATTTATAAAATTTGTTTATTGTAGTCTGTCATCGGAAGTATGTTGTCAATATAATGTGCATGTTACAGGTCGACGCAAATATGTACAAATTCCCGTCTAGAATGACATTTATGTTATGCACCAATGACTCATTTCTTCATATAGAATTTCAATTTATCTTAAGTAGCATATTTTTTCCCTTCATCGTGAATAATTAAAAAAAGGTAAAGTAAGAAAATAAGAAAGCCCGTTGATGAGTTATTTAAACTTTCGATATTTTTCTGTTAAATTAATAAGACGCTATTCTCATCTTTAAATTGATTTGAACATGATGAATGTTGAATGTTTCATAAACTAGCGACTAATCTTTAAATGAACATGATCTGTGTGTATTCGTCAATCTAAATTAAAATACCGTCATTTAAACCGAATGTTTAATCATTTTGGGTATCCTATATGCCCAAGCAGTCTTTACATGAGTCATACGAACAATACGTTGAATTGGCTACAGTGGTCGATCAGCTATAGAGGGGACACTATAGTGAGATCTATCATCTATTTTTCCAAAATTTTGCTTAGAAAGATTAACATTATAGAGATTGATTTTTCTCTTGAGATCATCTAGCTAAGTAAACATGATGTGGTCGATTTTATCAAAAAACGGAACATGCGTATTATTCACATTATTATTCATATTGAATCAAGGATTTTCATGTTTTTGATTCACCTTATAAGATGATGAGAATAAATGTTACATATATATCATTGCAGTACTGTTTAAAATTGTCCACATAAGAGGACCACTTTAATCTAATTTATTATTAGTTGGGAAAAATTGCTTATTCAGTAATCACTGTTAACTAAGAGGCTAGTTGATCCATCCATATATACATCTCTTTTGTTTATTATTATTATTATTATTATTATTATTATTATTATTATATCTTAATGTGTTGTTGTATGATAGAAACAAGCGAATTATATCAATGCGAATTTATCAACAACTCGTGCACGAAATGAATATTTAATACAGTTGGCTGCCACTAATCACAGTGTTCAACGTTATTTCACTCAAGAGGCGCCGGATATAGTTGAGGTAATGTCATATATATATATATATATATATATATATATATATATATATATATTGGTGCGATTACGTCCTTCAAGGTAGCAGATGTTAACTGCTATTTAAGGCGTACGCCAACATGAATAATTTGCTGATTTCGCCCATCATTCCACCGTAGTATAGTGGTTATTGGTGTAAGTTTTTTCAGCACATTATTCTAGAAAAATAACGATTATCCTAGCTAATATGTCATTTGTTCTCGATGGAAAAGATACAATGTTAATTATAAAGACAGTGTTCATCAACAGAGAATATCAAGAAATTGGATCCACTGAATTTGTGAGAATTTTCATTTCATGAGAAGAATCTTCTTCGAGAATATGCATAATGGATAAAAGCACTAAGTGGTCTTAATAATTTTTTTCTCATAATTAAACAGAAAAAGCATTATAATGTCAATGTCCAGATAATAATAGAAAGAACAATTACCATTGATTGATGAATAATATTTATCAAGTTTTATTGATAACACGAGCGTGGTAACCTGGATTATATCTATTTTATCAAGAATAGGATATATAATCTCTAAACTTTCGAATCCTCTCACATCAATAAGACAGTAATTAATTAACATAGGCGGAGTAGTGACTCAGTGGTTAGGACGTTTAACTTCTAGTCACTAATTTACCTTCTCCAACTCCATCTCCTTCAGCTCGATATACTGATAAGTAATCTAAAAAAAGTATGTCTATAATTCTACGTACAGAAACTTTTATTTTCGTTGGTCCGTTATTGTTGCACATAAAACGTTAATATTCAGTTTTGAAACAGCTATTGGAATTTCAAAGCAATTTCATTACTTATGAATTTCCGCTTACAAGAACTACTCTTTTTAAATACAACTGCATTAGTTACTTTTCTAATATACTCTACAAGTGATTTATGTTCTTTTATTTTTTTCCGTTTATATAAAACAGTTTATCACTCGATATTAGTGACTAAGGGGATGTTGTAAGCACTATCGAGTATGTATCGTCTAAACACTAGTAATGGTATTTAAACAGTTAATTAGTTGGTTAGTTCAGATGGACATCTGTATCAGGTTCTACTTTGTTTATGACTGACTGATTGGTGTATAAAATACTGAAAATTGTTAATCAAGTGACTTGTGTTTTTGCTTACCCAATCCCGACTAAGAGGACCGAAATAATGACTTCCTCTTATCATTGTCTCCTAGAAAACTAATTGTGATAAGTGTCACCTTTTCTAATAAGTTACTATCATCAGTAAAGCAGTGGCCTAGCTCTTGTAGCTGCCGATTTCCGTCCACCAAGTCCCAGTTTCTACACACGTCGGTTTGGACAACCGGATAAGTATCATCATTAGTCCTCACTCGTAGAGTGTAACTCACAGCCGAGTACTTGATGAATGAGTTAATTTACTTTGAAATCAATTATTTTACGTGTGTTTTATCACTATCTGAATAATAAATGTTAATCCGCTAGGTTACTGTTCGCCATTACGTATAGATCATTGTTGGTCTTGTTTTTTTGCCACAGTTCATCAGATATACCATCCTATGGTCGATATATCTAACGTTAACCATTCATCTTGTAATTTAATTTCATTTTGTTATTGTGGTATAGCGACTTGGTCCAGTACATATATGTAGCTAGCCGGTACGTTGGTTATGGCTGACTGACTGACTAACTAAAGATTTCAATTGAATAATTTTGTCAATTTATTTAAATCATAATAACTTATTTACTACTGTGGTGTATGCTACTTATGTCGACAGATGTAAGTAGTATGCGACATCCATCGGAAATGGAAAACCTGGCATCAAAATGCTAAGCAGACCGAGTAGAAGAGAATAGACAGTAATTGTAGACTGCAAGAATTATACAGGATGTGAAGGACAAACGATGGAAATTCGCAAATAAAGTATCTAGTGTATGGTTCTCACCACTTACCAAAAGATTCTCTAATTTCGTATTTCAGTCAGTCAGCTGCAACGTAGGACCAGGCACATATTTGCATCAATCCAAGTCCCTATACCTCATTAGCACAACAAGATGAACACCGAATCCATATAAGTAGCTAGTTCAATGGTAGTAATATATAAAAGATTGTGTAAAGGATATAGTACAGGAAGAAACAATTAGTCCGTAGAAAGAAAGATATGAAGTGATCTTAATCTCAAAGTATAAGGGAAGACAGAGTGTATACACCGGCGCCACTGTGATCGATTCTGAGCCATGTCTTCCAGAGTCTCCAACCATTGGTTACGATAGTCACGTGGACCCCAACCAAGTAGTTTAGTAGTATCTACCAACATGGCTCAGACCAGAAGTTAGTGACTTCAAGCACCGATGCCACGTTTTGGTTTGACCGCTCCTAACTTTCTTTCAACCATCCACTACACTAGTCAGCATTGTGCGTCGTGGTAAACGGTGTTCAGGCATACGTAACACGTGACCCAACCATCTCAGTCGATGAAGATTCACAACCTCATCAACTGGTTTACCATCATTCCCTAATACCCTGCGTCTAACCTCACTATTACTTACTTGGTGATTCCAGCAGATGCGAGCAATATTTTTAGGGCATCTGTGGTCAAATACTAGTAGCTTACGAGTATCTTCTACTCTTAATGGCCACGCTTTGCAGCTGTAAAGTAGAACAGAATGAACTGCCGCGCAGTATACTCGTCTCTTAATTGATAGACGGATATCTCGCCTTCGCCAAAGGTGACGTAAGTTGGCAAAAATCAAACGAGCTTTACGAATCCGTGCTGAGATTTCGTCCGATACCAACCCATTAGGGCTGATCAGACTTCCAAGATAAGTGAAGTTGTCGACGCGTTCGACTACTTCAATCCATCCTTAGTTCAGGTGTTGACACAGGCCAGTCCTGAAGCAAATACTTACATTTAGAGGGGTGGAGCGCATCCCTAACATTCTGACATTGCTGCTTAGTGCTATCAAGAATCTGCATTTTATCTGCGTATTCACCAAACAGGACTATATCATCTGCATATTCTAAGTCGATAAGTGGACCTCCTAGTAGGAGATCAATGCCTGAAAATTCAGTCTATCAGAGCGTTATTTCCATCAGTGGGTCTATGATGAAGTTAAAAAAAAATGGAGAAAGTGGACAGCCTTGACGGACACCACTTGGGGTTGCGAAATCAGATGACAGTTCGCCATAAACTCTAGCTCGATTAATAGTGTTCGAGTAAAGAACCTTCACAAGGTTTATGTACTTCTGAGGTACGCCTTTCAATGACAGACACTGCCACAGACCCTCTCGGTCTACAGAATCACATGCTGCTTTTAAGTTAAGAAAGGCCAACATTGTCGGACGCCGATAAAATTCTTATCTAGGCATAATCGTTTGTCCTCACCTGTTTTCTTGTTTATTCAACTTCTTCTATAGCTGCCTAGTGTTTTTTACTTATGTTTAAATAAATTCCACCTGAAAACCACATTTTAACTAGTTTCTGTCTCATTTATTTTATTATTGCAGTGATTTCGCCAATCACACGCATTTAAAAACATTAATCGTCGTATGTATATATCTACTGGACTTTTTTCACGTCTTAGTTTCCCTGTTTTCTTATCTCTTTTTCCTTCATTTTCAGTGTTTATTTTGTGGTTTTCATAATAGTCTGGCGCGTTCAGCAATGATGCATTTAAGTTGTGAAGAAACATTGAAATCATGTCATGGTTCAATTGTTGAAATGTTAAATAGAAATATTACAGCACTTGATTTACGACAAGATAAAGCATGCTTTTTCAAACGTAACGAACAAGTGTATACACGTCCGGGTTATTTTAAATTTATGCCATCCAAAGAAGATATTGTAAGTGTATATGTTATCTATATTGTTGTGTTTCGATTAACTTTGCATGTAATTGATTTTGACAATGATCATTGGTAACTATGACGACAATGTTGTTATCGTTATTGTTTCAACAAAAAGCTCCCATTAAATTCTATTCGATTAATCTACATAAGTATTGTATTTTGATTAGTTAGTTAATAAAATGAATGAATATCTGATTGATGAATAATTTTCACATTAAATTTTTTTATGGTATTAAACTTGGATATTGTTTTACATTTAGTTTCAAAATATATGTTTCTCTCTATACATTCGATTCGTCAGTTGTATTTATTAGTATCCCGTTAAGTAACAATGTTCATTCCACAATGATGATTCCAAGTTTATCTTTAATATTCTAGTTTTCAGACCCTTATTTCATGGGATGCCGAATTAAAATAACCATATATGTTTTCTGATTTTAATCATTTTTCATGAGATTTTATTGTATTGTAAATTTCAATATTTGTAATAATGACCACACTCTCCTAGATGCTTTCGTTTGTCAGTTAATAGTAATACATAATGGTACCATTTGTATTGGTGGTTGTAATTATAGTTGTATTTTCTTTCACCGTTGTTGTTACCTTGACGTGGTGGTCGGGCTTGCCTATCGTGATGAAGCAACCGAGCTATACTGGCTGGAACAACCGTTCCTCAAGGTCCTACCATGTCAGACAGGTCGGTTGAAGAGCGGTAAGACTAAAAGCAACAAGCCCAAGATTTGAAGGCAAAGTCGTACTGCTGACTGTACAGAGGTGTGACAACAGTAAGGTGTTTCCTTCAGACAACCAGCATGACAGAGATGCTGCCTTCCCACAAGGAGGGGTGGGGTTAGAAAAGGTCGACCATAAAAATGCACACCTCACCTTACCTCACGGATTTCCGTCTCCGGTGGTAAGGCCCTTTGAAGAACGGAGCTAACACGTCAAAAACCTCCCACGAAAAGGCCGTGCGCGACCGGCCTCAAGCAGTTGTCCCTTGGGCACTGCGGTCACGCTCTCAGGTCCCTAAGACCACCTCTAATCCAATTTCCTTTTCAGGTACCTCCAGAAGAACCCTTCGACGGTGTGGGCAACCGGGAAGTGATAACCACCCTCATACCTGTAGCAGCACTCAAGACCACTGTATTCATAATCAACCTCCCTTTTCAATTCCTATTATTCCACCTACATCGCCTTTCAACTCTAAACTTCCTCTTTCGGCTTCCCCCTCAAGTTTCACTATAGCCAACGATTCTAGTGCTCAAAACACTGTCCCAGGTCTACTGAAACCTCGCTCCAAACTACACATTGGAGCCTTCAACGTACTCACTCTATATCAAATTGGCCATCAGGTCTCCTTGGCTAGGACCCTAGAATCTCGTACCATTGATGTATGCTGTCTCCGAAACATACATACAGGATTCCAGTGTGGTCATTCACTTGACCTCACCTCGCCGAAACGGAGAGCCGACGAGATACAGCCTCAGTGTATGTGGCCACCCGATGGGTAGTTCTCGTGAACTGGCAGGTGTGTGCATAGCACTACATACGAGGGTAGAACAAGCACTATTAGAGTGGATCGCCGTTAACAGTCGTCTATGTGCTGTTCGGCTAAACGGTTCCCGGAACAACTGAGGTCACACTTAGGTAGTCATAAAAACGAGGTTGAGCCAGATGTTTCTTGGAAAGATATACAAACAGCAGTGACACCTGTTAGTGATTTAAACCAAAGACTTACTAGAAAGCTTTCAGAATTTATGTCAGTGTTTTCACCTGGACTTATTTAGGTCATCTATTAGTGATTTAAACTAAAGTATAACAAAGAATCAGTGGATTTCTTCAAGGTCTATCACACTGATGGATTCTCGTAAACTCGTCCCATCAGGTTCCGAACATGATGAAGAGCGACAACAAATCAGATCCAGGTTAAGAAAAAGTCTAAGGAACGACCGTGAGCAGTGGTGGGTAACGAAAGCAAAAGAGATGGAAAAGGCGGCGACTATAGGGAACACAAGACAGCTTTACAGACTAATAAAAGAAACTGGAATTAATAAGTCAAATGTCAGTGAGATTATTTCGGAAAAAGACGATACTCTCATCTGCTCCCAGTCCAGACGTTTAGAACGATGGGCGGAACATTTCAGAGAACAGTTCAACTGGCCTTCAGCTACTCTACAACTACCCTCCATTCCCAGACAATGTGAATGGAACATTGAAGTAGGTCCCCCAACTCTTGCTGAAGTTGAGAAGGCTATAGTTAGTCTGAAACGAGGAAGGGCAGCTGGTCCAGATGGATTGGCTCCAGAAGTCTTAAAGGATGGTGGTCCAATTTTAGCGATTAGGTTGACTAATATTTTAGCTAAGATCTGGGAGTTAGACGTTATTCCATCTGACTGGTCACAATCACTTATCGTCCCAATATATAAGAAAGGGTCAAAATCATCCTGTGACAACCATAGAGGGATTAGTTTAACTAATATAGTATCTAAAATACTAGCCTCAATAATTATTGGGCGCCTAACGAAAACTCGTGAACTGTAAATACGAGAAAATGAGGCTGGCTCCAAACCTGGTCGTGGCTGCATCGACTACTTATTCACCATTCGTCAGGTTCTAGAACACAGGCATACTTATCGACGTCCGACAATGTTGGTCTTTCTTAACTTAAAAGCAGCATGTGATTCTGTAGACCGAGAGGGTCTGTGGCAGTGTCTGTCATTGAAAGGCGTACCTCAGAAGTACATAAACCTTGTGAAGGCTCTTTACTCGAACACTACTAATCGAGTCAGAGTTTATGGCGAACTGTCATCTAATTTTGCAACCCCAAGTGGTGTCCGTCAAGGCTGTCCACTTTCTCCATTTTTTTTTAACTTCATCATAGACCTACTGATGGAAATAACGCTCTGATAGACTGAATTTTCAGGCATTGATCTCCTACTAGGAGGTCCACTTATCGACTTAGAATATGCAGATGATATAGTCCTGTTTGGTGAATACGCAGATAAAATGCAGATTCTTGATAGCACTAAGCAGCAATGTCAGAATGTTAGGGATGCGCTCCACCCCTCTAAATGTAAGTATTTGCTTCAGGACTGGCCTGTGTCAACACCTGAACTAAGGATGGAGTGAAGTAGTCGAACGCGTCGACAACTTCACTTATCTTGGAAGTCTGATCAGCCCTAATGGGTTGGTATCGGACGAAATCTCAGCACGGATTCGTAAAGCTCGTTTGATTTTTGCCAACTTACGTCACCTTTGGCGAAGGCGAGATATCCGTCTATCAATTAAGAGACGAGTATACTGCGCGGCAGTTCATTCTGTTCTACTTTACAGCTGCAAAGCGTGGCCATTAAGAGTAGAAGATACTCGTAAGCTACTAGTATTTGACCACAGATGCCCTAAAAATATTGCTCGCATCTGCTGGAATCACCAAGTAAGTAATAGTGAGGTTAGACGCAGGGTATTAGGGAATGATGGTAAACCAGTTGATGAGGTTGTGAATCTTCATCGACTGAGATGGTTGGGTCACGTGTTACGTATGCCTGAACACCGTTTACCACGACGCACAATGCTGACTAGTGTAGTGGATGGTTGAAAGAAAGTTAGGAGCGGTCAAACCAAAACGTGGCATCGGTGCTTGAAGTCACTAACTTCTGGTCTGAGCCATGCTGGTAGATACTACTAAACTACTTGGTTGGGGTCCACGTGACTATCGTAACCAATGGTTGGAGACTCTGGAAGACATGGCTCAGAATCGATCACAGTGGCGCCGGTGTATACACTCTGTCTTCCCTTATACTTTGAGATTAAGATCACTTCATATCTTTCTTTCTACGGACTAATTGTTTCTTCCTGTACTATATCCTTTTACACAATCTTTTATATATTACTACCATTGAACTAGCTACTTATATGGATTCGGTGTTCATCTTGTTGTGCTAATGAGGTATAGGGACTTGGATTGATGCAAATATGTGCCTGGTCCTACGTTGTAGCGGATTTACTGACTGACTTTCATTTTAACCATTTCCCATGTTTACTAAAATATTTTTTATGTGCGAAGTAGTTGCGGTCGTGTAATTTATTTGGTTCGTGTTTTTGAATTTTTTAAATTTTATAACACGGTGTTTTTAGATGAATGTTTTCTCTATATATTAGTATAAGGTGTAGTACTTAACTGATGCACTCATGATTCTTTTTCTTCTAAATTTTTAACGGAAAATCACAGTGCAAACTAATAAATATATTTTTTATTACTTTTCGACTTATATGTATTTATATATTATAAATATGTACTGGATCTTAAATAATCGGAAACTGCTTTTAATATTAATATCGTGAATCATTAAATGAATCAGTGTGTTATGTATTTAGGCTTATCTGGTCGTGTTTCTATATAATTAAGTTTTTTGAAGTGCTTTTTGGTATTTATTCAATTATCAGCATTTTTCTGTATTATTTGTCTTTCGTAATTTGCCAATCGTGCTAAATTCGGTAAAAAAGTTTTCGATAGCCCGTAGATTCGCAAAAAGTAATTTGGAAGAATTTATTATTAGTAACTCACTAAGAAATGTTGATCCATGTACTTATGGCCTTCAGTCACACTTAATTTGCGAGATCTGTTGAATACTACCCAGTTACCCAAACCGTAGTAGGTGAAGTTGAAAGGCGTTCCACTCAGACAAAATTGCAACGAAAGTTGATGGCTTAGTTATTAACACACTCATTTTTCTACCTGTAGGTTATAGTTTCGAATCATTCACTCACCTATTGTAGTAGATAGTATCTCTAGCAAATTATTGATATAGTATGGCTTAAATTTTGTGTGCATAAAAGTTTTACTTATTAAACTAGCTAAACAATTTTCATCTGATTATTATTTATCATTCATGTATACTGATTAAACTATGTTATACGGTAGTTTCTCGCTGTTATATATTTTTTCTTCTGAGACAGTAACGTATTAGAGGAATTGTAATTGGAAGTGTATTGTTTTCAATTTATTACTACTTTTGTTATTTAGGATAGTTGATAAGATAACTTGACAACGAACTACTGGTCATTATAAATATCATGTTATTGTGCTCTCAATAATGTTTATTTATATGTGCGTTTAGTTTAGCGATGAGTGTAAAACAATGTGAGTAAATATTTTTACATATTATTTTTTATATATTCTTGTATAACTGGATTTACTATTTACTTGAAATTAAGTCAGATTTAGGTTCGCTTAATGATGAGTACATTTTGTATTTATTTAAACAATATTTTCATAGGAAGATCATATTCGTCCAGATGGTCCATTGTATGATGAACTTCAAACAACAGCTAGTCAACTTACGGCTAGTATCGAAGCACTCCGTGTATCGACAGATGAAACTTGGAAGACACTAGAAGAGGTGACTTTGTTATTTTGTTTCTATGTATATGTTTCGATTAAATTAGATTGCTGTGTTAATTCGTACATTTCTTCACATTTTTCAGTTGATCTGATCAATCGGATTTTATCTTTTCAGCGATACGAACTAAATAATACCATTGTTCTCTTACAATTATTGCTTGTTAGTAGTTTGTAGGTACTTAGTTTTTTTTAACTTTTTACAATCAATAAAAAATTATGAACCGACATCAAAATATACCCTAGTGTTTTGAATGGAATTTTCCCCAATAGGTTGTAATAAGCTAGAGAGCTATTGAGAACTTAGGGGATATTAGTTAATTGTTTTTTGTGGATTTTATTTGCGATCACTTAGTAATAAACACCTGTCTATCAGGATTCAACCTGTAGACCATGTGATCAGTATAACGTGTTTTTTAAATGATAAATTTGCAACACAATAGTTTACATTTCTAACTTCAATCAATTTATTATGCAATAAAATCCTCATCCCACGTCATTGGTAATTTATTATTTCACAACATAGGTGAACGAGATAAAAAAGGCTTTGAGAAATTCCTCTCGCAGTATGTCGAATGTAACTCTACAATAACCTTTTATCTTATGAGCTCAAGGATCAGGTTTGTTGATATGTGTACCAAAAATATCAACGTAACCCGTGTGGTAAATCTGTTAAAATATAATGGATAAATTTATTTTTATTATTTACTTAAACACAAACATTGGTACAAGGAAGCACCAAATAGATATGCGCCACACAAATCATTCGATTTGTGTGAGGGCTGGAATATTGCCTGTGCTCCCAGACTGAAGCAGGTGATTTCCTTAAGGGGCCACGCCCAGCGCATTCGACCTAATGGTCTGATCAACAAGGCAATCGAGCAATGTAAGGAGATGCAGTCCCATGGTAGCTGGTGACCAACAATAGGTTCATACGTCATTTGTTCCTTCAGGATCCTGGATTCAGTGTGCACTATTGGTTCAGAGTCAAGGTTTTCTAACTCCCCTAGGCGGATCCTTCGTATCCACCGACCCGGTTAAAGCGCCGGACATTCGCTTTTCACCCTATCCGTTTCGTAAACAACAGTAATACCACGAGGAGGCAGTGAGTAGGACTTCCCTGGAAGTGGTTGTATGCGCTTGGATAATTTTGTAGGATTAATTTCTATTTCGATTCAGATTTCAACCCAATAGTCTAAATGTATCATACTGGTCATGATATCCGAATGTGTATGGATACACATTTTTCAAATGAGCTCCAAATTAAATTGAAACAAATGTCCATTACTCACTGATATTCATTGATTTCTTATCTTTCTTATTCTTGTCTTTAGTGAAAATCACCTAGCAATTAACAAGCCACTAAAATTCACCTTTATAGCTAATCATTAGGTCTTGCTTAAATCTGTTTGCTTGTATGTATGTACTGGATCTGTAGGATGGCATATTTTATCGATCGAAATCTTCCGTTAGACAGGGTTATTACTAAGTCTATTATTGTCTATTTCAATGTTATAATTTATAATCAGTCAGGCAGATACCACTAGACTATGAATAAACCTATACAAATTATTAACGATATTTCCATTCATTTTTTTCTATATTGAAGTTGTTTGTTGTCAGAGCCTTTTTTAATGGATAAATTATTAAGCCAGTGCGTATTTATTAGATAGCAAAAATAATTAACTATAAATTTCGTAGGAATATTGTTTTCGCTGTTGTTTTTTTCCTTTAAACTGCATTTATTGTGTTATCTACACTAGGTTGTGCTGTTTCAAAATTGTTCTTATGATCCTTATCTCAGTGAATGCACTCACTTAGATATTCCATTATAATTGTACCATAACGTTGAGTTTAGCTTTTTCTTTCTTTATTGCACGTTATAGTTAGAACCCTTATTTGTTTGTTGACATACCTGTTGAAAGTGGAATATATAATATGAGATCAGTTTCGTTTTATTGTTTATCTGACTGTCATACGGGGAAAATATAAAGCTTTTGAACAACGCTCCACCATCTAAGATGACGATAAGATAATGTGCTTCTGTTAGTCTGATGGAGTTTTTATTAAGGATGTTCAGAATATCGCCAAACTTTTTTAACCCGTTTTTTCAAAGATGAGTTTAAAAATCCGTTTTGTTTAGTAATTAAAAGGCGGTCATAGTGTTAAGTAAGGCAGTGATTGTTTGTTTGAAAACCGTGTGACTGAAATTCTGTCTTTGAGCAGGGAGTAAATCCTTTATCGATATAATCATGAAACCCGATGTTTATATAGAATGGATGGGATTTATCTAGCAGTAGAATCCATGGCGCAGGTTTCGTCCGGCTTCGGACTCGTCAGCTGATTGTACCTCCATCAAAAATTTGACGTTCACCTTTTACTTCAGAGGTCACCGGGTTATCCACTTAGCTACCAACTCCACATAACCACTCATTTTTACAACGAGTGTGAATGTTAGTTTAATTTGTAATTGTTCATATTATCCCATTGTTAGTATTTTAATTGAAACTTGATCGGTATTAGCATACTTGCATTCTGTGAATGTAGTCTGTTTGAACGTTTCGTAATAGGCATATCAAAGCAATCCACAAAGAATCCAAATGTACCAACCAAGACTGATCAATTTTCAGTCAAAATATAAATAACGGGATAATCCAAATAATTAGAAATTTAGTTGGAAATCGTTCGGTTTCCACAATCTATTGTATGACAGCGACCAATATTCTAGATATAAATAGTAGGATAATTATACCTGATTGTTTGTCACATGCATTATATGGGTTTTTTGAAGGTGTTATTATAGATTTCTAAGCGTTGATCGTGTATTGTAGAACTAGCAGATGTGTAGTACTGAAGTCAGGGTTAAGATAAAGGATAAAGATAGCAAATTGTTCGATACGATCGCGAATCTTCGTGATTCTATATATGTTATTTCAATCTGCGACTTAACTAAATTTAAGTTTGCATATGAGGCTTTAGGTTGGGCACAGGATAAATGTTAGAGATTATAACCAAGATCTTAAACCGAATTACATAGAGGGATCTCAAACTTGCCATTTAAAATTTAAGTTGACTACTTAAACTTGTGAATTATAATTCTAATTTTTCTCAAGAATATTTACTGTCTTATTACTAAATTTTATTACTACATGTTTTTACCTAATGGACAATCGCAGCTGAAATACATGATTTTGAGTAACGATCTTTAAAAACTGGCAACTAACATCATTTTGTTATTACCGTCTAACTACTTCTGTTTGACTTTCATTAAATTTTTATTTCTAACTAGTCTAAATTAATTAATTTCTATAGTTTACAATTTTTCACATATGATTAGCTATACTTTCTCTATATTATTCAGGTACGATACTCATTATTGATTTTATGCTGATAGTTTTGCATCTGATTAATCGGAACCGCATTTTTTAAATCTTGTTATTTCTAGGTTGAAAAGAAGTTATTAGAATTAATTAATCAGAAAGACTATGATGTCTCACGATTGTTTTGCATTGAAAAGCCTCGTTCAAGACGTTCACTTGTTGGTGTTGGTGGTGGTGCTTCGGCTGGCGTGTCGAATAACTTAACAACTTCTAACCCTTTAGGAAGTAGTATGGGTAGTATTGGAACTGGTTCTATTACTTCATCTTCGTCTTCTTCTCCTGGTACAATCAGTGCTGCAAATGTACATTCTAATCAACAGATATTATCTACAAGTGGCCGGAGTACAAGCCCTGGTTTGTTGCCTAGTTCAACGGCTATCGTGAGTCAAGACAGTAGTTTACAGGATACTTCTAATTTATCAACTGTTTCACAGACTAATCATTCAGGTTCAACTACATTTGGTGGGAACGATCCAACTCAAGCTGGTTTATATCTTCGTCTCAGGTCATTGTTTCGTGATTCTAGAATTGAACAAGAGAAGTTTTATTTAGATGTAAGTAGAATTGGACAGTTTAATTGATTTTTCAATTTGGGTTTTATCTCAGAATGATTTCATATTGCAAATCGTGAAAAGCCTCGAATCATTAGCATCGGCGGCGCGTTGTGTTAAAGATATGCTTCTGAATTCCTCACGATTTTTTTCTCGTTTCACTAATTTGTATTTTGTCGAATCATATCTTCAATGCCTAATATTTTCTATTAGCACCGGTACTGTTACTATCTCTTTCACTTTGGGACTTAGCTTAAGGATTTTAACTCCGTGTCAGTGAGATATTATGGCATCTTCAATAGATGTACATATGTCCTAGGTTTTACGTTGCGACTGACTGATTGACGTTAAACGCCTCCATTCGTGTATACGATATATAGTTCCTTCAATATGTATGTGTACTATCTCTAGTTTTATTAGTGTTTCAGAAACTGCCATTTTCACTAAATGACTAATTAGATCAAGAATTTCCACTTCATCTGTAAATTGACCTAACTATTCAACCTTCATAAGTATCACAAGTTGTCTATGGTTATTGTTGTAGGAATACTCACCTTTCTAATCGTTTTGACATAGCCTAGCACTTGCTATTGAAGTTTGCATATTTAAGGCTTTTTTCTGATAAATAATGTTGTATATCATAGATTTTGCATCACAGCAATGAGTCATTTTTGTTTATCTCTATTTGTTTATAATTTGTTGTGACTACAACAGCCTTAGTTATAAACATGACTTGTCACCTCTTTTTAATACTTGTTCAATACGAATAAAGTTTGGATAATCTATTATTTTCACTATTTTGAATAGAAAAAGTAGGTATGTACTGTTTATGAGGGTGGCCATGACTATTATTGTTATTACTATGACTGGTCTTCTGTACCACTCCATTTGTCACTTGTTATGTGTATGTGGTTAATTTTGAGGTCATTTTATGGTATGTTAGTTAGATTCATGACTCATCTATAGTGTCGCTTTAAGACCCTGGGTTTTGATAAGAGGTCTGGAGATAGGCATAGCTGTCTATCTATCTTTGTCTCCCCTAGCTGTTTAAGAAGTTCTGTGATTAGGACATTTCTTGCATATTTGAAGTAAATGCTTAGTTGGACGATATTACTGATGCCATTAGATAGCATTAAGATAAGCATGTTCCACTTTAAATTTATCCTACCTTTCAATATATATAACTAGTTCCAAGCCTCTCATGTCAATCGCTGGTTTGAGTTTTTTTAGATCTTTGGATAATCTAAACACAAATTAACCATTGGGAAACATTGACTCGTTGTAGGAAATCTGTAATGCAAACATCGAGCTTTTATTGATTAGTCTGAAAGTTGACCTTTTTGAAATTTCATAACTGACTACATTTCATCCATTCAAATAATACATCTTTTTGAATATCGTGTTTTAGTTTATCAGCGATGTCCCATGCATCGCACTCTACTTATATTTAGTCAGAGGTGGGGGAGGGATTTGATTGTGAATAAAGTGGTCTCGGGTGCTTTAGAGGTATGAAGGTGGTTTTCACTTCCTGGTTGCACACACTGTGGACGGATATTTCTTCTTAAGGGACCTGAAGAGGAAACTGGATTAATAGTGATTTTAACGACTTGGGAGCGTAACTGTAGAGCTCGAAGAAAACTGCTTAGAGCCGGTCGCGCATAAATTTTCTATGGAACTTTGGTTTGTTATCTCTGCGCTTCAGACGGCATTACCACCACTTGGGTTTGCTGCTTTTAGTGTTAAAATTCTTCAACAGACCTCCCTTGCATAGTAGGACTTTAAGAGTCCTGCATTCCATCCAATAGAGTTCGGTCGAGTCATCCAGATAGGCGAACCCGACCACCACGTCAAAGTAGCAGCCATAGTATCTATTTACATTCTTTATGACCTGGTGTCATTTCTATTAACTGAAAAAATAACATGAAGCATCTAGTTAATGATATAACAACAGATCTTAAACTGAAATGGGTTTCTCCACTTGACTTTTTCAGTCTTCGTAAATACTGATTTGGAGATCATTTCGTAAAAGCACTGGTTATACTACACGACTACAATATAACTATCTAAGTAGTTGTAATATTTCATGTTGAAATTTCGACCTTATTCTATTTAAATATTATACAAAACAAAATTATTGTTAGTTTTTTGTTGGATAACATTGCTATCATAAATTTAATTGTGTTATACTGTGTCGATTTTCAATGATATTTCAACGTAAATCAGTCTGCGATAAATGCAATCTATTTATTAGTGGAATGTTTAATTAAGCCTATTTATACGGCTGTATATAATGTTAAACCATATTTTTCAATATGATATTCAATAATTGCAATGTCATTCAATTATTCTAATTGTGGTAGGGGCGTAGAAAAGGTTTTATATTAATAACCTATCAATTTGAAAGTTAAATGTCTGAATTATTCAGTGTCTATGCCAAGCACATTTACTTCTCAGTTTAACAAATGTGTATACATTGATGTACTTCTTATAAATAATTAAGCAAGATCTTTTCATAGCAGCATTTATCTATTTATTATATTTAAATAATCCTATTTTCATTATGTGTACAGAATATATATTAATAACTGTCTATTAATATTAATTTGATAATCGGTCTTAAAATTGAGATCAATTAAATTGTCTAATCGTTTCTAGCCAGAAACTTGTAAATTTTCAATAGTCCAAATACTTAAAATTACACATTTTGTCTAAAAATTTGTGCGGTATATTCTACTTATGCTGACAGATATAAGTAGTATGTAGCCGCCAATCGGATGTAAAATGCCTGTCAGCAGATTGAATTGGAGAGAACTGGAATGTAAACAGAGAACATTTGTAATAACAGCAGAATTAAAAGAATCATGAAGCACTTAAATGACAAGTGTTGGGAGATGTGAAAATTATGTATTTAATGTATGATTTTCATATTTTAGTGTAACCACTCTGTAATTTTGCATTAAACAATAATTTGGTTATATCCACCTGAGTTCGCGTTCATTACAATTACAGTTAACTTAATACTGATTTATTTGGTGAAAATAAGATTTTCGGTGTTCTTTGTGTATATCTACTCTAGAATTTCTCCCAGTGATTTTTTGTTTACTAAATGAAATAAACAAAGAAAGTGAGGGAGACTAAGCATTTTATTTTTCTTCCTATTTTGTTGTGATCTCCGGGAGCTATGTTTTTTTTTTATTTCATAGTTATGTGAAGTTCATTTTTTATTGTAGTAATTTGTGAACTTCATTTTTAGAGTCTTTGAAAATCAGTGTTATTATTGACAGCGTACATGTTTATGTCATTTCATATCCATTGCAGTTTTTATGTTTACTATTAATTATTGTGTTGTAATCGACTATATGGTATTTATGCGATTTCTATTAATGTTTGTCAAGTTGTTTTTATTATATATTTCTCCTGAAACCACAATGTTGTCTTTCGTTACTTTTTTGTCAGAGATTTGCACACTATACCCAAGAAATGCATATTTGTCAATTAATGCAAGTGAAACTTGCACAAATTCAAAATGCACTAGCTTCTTCACAACCAAACTCACATGAATCAATACCTCAAACATCGCCATCTTCTCAAAACCTGAAATCTATGCTTCGACATGGTATACCTGTTTTACCAAAACTACCTGGATATAATAAAGACTTTACAAAAAATCTCAAATCTCCAACTTCACCAACTTCTAGTCATTCGAAAATCGATAGTGGTTTCTCATCATCACCACCTCCACCTCCACACCTGCTCCTAATTTTACTTCACAAAGTTTTCATCAAGATTCTTTTAATTCACCTATTCTTGCATCATCATCTCATTGTGATGTAACATCAACACCTGTATCAAATCCTTCATTTTCCAGCCATTCTGGAAGTCAATCTACTCTAGTCAGTAAGCATCAAGCCCGTCGTGTCCTTCGTGTACCGAATGTTGGCAAACCTAAACTGTTTGGTGGTACCATAGATGAATATGTAGAAGCTACTAAGCAACCGATCCCTCGCATTGTATTATCTTGCATTCGTGTTATTAATGAATATGGTGAGTTTTAAAAGTAAAAATCTTTGTACCTTGTTAGGTGCGGTTGGGACATGTGTTAGGTATGTCCAAGGACCTCCTACCTCGACAGGCAGTGTTTTCTGGTATAGAGGTAGGCTATGATGTGAATCCAGGGGTAGCCAAACCAGAACAGGACATCACCCTATGAAGTCACTAACAATTGGACTGAGCCATGTTACTAGGTGCAGTTTATCTGGTTGGAGTTCGGGTGATCATCGTAACCAATAGTTAGATATATTGAATGACATGGTTCAAAATTGTTTGCAATAGTGTAGGTGCATCTCAAATCCTGAGATTCTAAATTCCTGATAACTGTTTTTGTTTTTATTTCACTAAATTATATTTTCTTTGCGTGTTATCTCTTTTATGCCTTATTTTTGCTATTACCACTGATACTTTTATTTCCGCTGTTATTCATAGATTTTTCCTGACATTTTCATCTTGGTGTGCTAATGAGGTACGGCAACTTGAACCAATGTATATACGTACCAGGTTCTACGTTGTAACTGATTGACTCTGTTAGGTTGAATAACATTTTTCTTTTCTCTTTAACACTTTTCATTAAAATAGTTTGATCAATTTTGGTTTATTACAAAAAGTATCTGTGAAATTAAACAAATGTTCGTAAACCACCCAATTAAACAGAAATGATATTATATTGAATACATTGTTCTTTCTGTGTTTATCATTTATCCATAACTGGAGGGAGCGAGAGAGAGAAAAAGAGATATGATCCATTAATCTCATTTTATTATTAACTTTCTTTTCTAAATGCTAATTAACTAGTTGAGATGGTATCAATTAAACAATCCAACTGAATATATCAAGCAAGCTTTCATTATCTGTTTTAGATTATCAATGTGTATCTGTTCGTTTTCCATCTACTATTTATTAGAGATTATTATTATTATTATTGAATTTTTGATATTTTCTTTCAGTTTGGAAAATAGTATTCTGATTTTTCTTGTTATTTAGTATCGTTAATTTTTCGTCGGCTTGCATAAATAAACTCTTTCCACTTGATCTCTTAAGTAAAGAGATCTGAGAGGATATTTAATTGTTATTTTAAAAGTAATTTTGTGTTCATTATTATTATTATTAGAAAATTCAATTTTTATTCAATCCGTAGGTAAATTTCTTTTGTCGTTCATCAATCTTTTTTTGTCTTAAATTGGTTGATATTAACAACAATTTATCTACCTGTTTGTATGTGTATGCGTGCTCACGTCTGTCATCATTAAGTCCTATAAAGAAAGAAAATTTTCTTCATGTGAAGAATAATTCTTTGTTTATTTTTTCAACAAATAGATGTGTCATTATGATATGACCAAAAAGTGAGTGTTTGTGTTTGTATTTCTGTAAGAAAATTGTTGGAATATTAACCATCAGTAGTCAATTCACCATGTGTATTATATTTTAAAAGTTTGAAATGTCAGGATGTTTTAGTCGGGGAAGTACGTTATTTGACTTGTAAATGTCTGTGTTCAACTAGATGTCTTCTCTACACTGTTTACAATTTGAAGCTTCATTCAAAGTGTTTTTTTATTGAATTGATTTAATACTGTAATACATTTTCTCCTTGGTTTGTTACTGCTGATTATACTACTATCTTTTTAGGGATGCTTGACATTTCTTCAGTTATTATTGTTTTGTATGTATGTGTGCAATTATTTAGTTATCGTTGACTAGATTTGAGATGAATAACTTAGTAGACAGATAGTAGATTGAAATGCAGAAACATGTGCAGATTTTAATCTAAAAATTAAAGTGGAAATTTTTCAGTCGAGGTTATCTTTCTTTTTACTATCACTTATACTTCTACCTATTTAATATTCACTGCATCACATTATATCAGCATAATGAAATGAAGTTCATCGCTTTTGTCCTGATGTAATGTGACAAATTTTACCATTTCATATGTATCTTTGGGTTCTGTGTTACTTTGGACTAACTTCTGACATAAAACACTTACACTGCAAATCCAGTCAACTGTAGTCATATTTTTTAATTTTGATTTTTATCAGAGGTCAGTCATACTCTATTCTATAAGAGATACCCTAATTCAAATGATCACTGTATTGACTAATTATCGACAGTAATAATTCATGTTACCATGGTTACATTTTAATGGATTCTTTACCATAGTATTTCTTTTATATTCCCTAGTTTATGTACTTGTCAAGTTTGTTTTTGTCTGACTTACTTTTCAACAAAAAAACTATCTACTTATTTATAATCAATAAGAATATTGCTGAATATCAACACATTAATATGTAACCCTTGAACAGTATAATTCTCTAAAAGTTTCCTTCATTCCCAATCATGTGTTTCTTGTTCTTATCCAGAATTATCTTTTGAGTCTTAATTCTAACATAAAACGTTTGTTTTTGGTATGTATGTTGTACTAAACTTTTGACATGGGAATAAAGCCAGGATTATTAAACTTCATACTTACGAGGTGAAAGTAATGCCACCACATAAAATCTATGTACGTAATTCCCATTCTGATATCGTTTGGAAAATAAACAATGTAATCTCGGTTATAAAGTCCCAACCATCTCAATAAGTTAATTCAGAGTATTCTTACGATTGATTTTAACGAATTAAAGTCAAAGCAATCTGCACTATTATATTGAATTACTTAGTCCTGTAAATACATCCCTTATGCAGTAGAATTCTATCTACACTGTGAAGTAGAACTGTCATTGGTTATTACTCAGTGTAAACATCATGACCCAAACAAATTAATGTTTGCCTATAATGTAGACGTTATTTGACGTGAGATTGATATTGATTAATGAGAGCTCTCGCATATTCTACGCCAATACTTTTCTTACTGATTACCTTTAACCACCTAATATTATTAAATATTTGATACAGTGTGGTAGTTTTTATATGATCGATTAATTGCTTCGAAGTTTGTCTTAAATAGTTCAGTTGAATTGGATGGTGTATATCTAGTTCTCGTTAACAGGTTTAGTCGGAATCCTATTGCACAATTCTTTAATTTAAATTCTGAATTAACTGCCAAATATTCACGCAATAAAATGTTGGTAATTATTGTGAATCGTCTTTACCAAGTTTAGTGTCAAATTTTCGACAAAATACCAATAACTAACTACATGTATTATACTCTTTTACGAGTTACCTAGCCCATACAGAATGTCAGTCAGTCAGTCAGCTACAACGTAGGACCAGGCACATATGTGCATCGGTCAAGGTTGCCATACCGCATCAGCACAACAAGATGAACACCGGATTCATAGCAGTGGTTATGTCAAAGGTGGTAATATATAAGAGAAAGATTGCATATAGATATATAATACAAGAAGAAAGAATTGGTTCGTAGAAAGAAAGATATGAAGTGATTTTAATCTCTTAGTTTAAGGGAAGACAGGGAGTGTATACACCGACGCCATTGTGATCGATTCTGAGCCATGTCACCAAGAGTCTCCAACCATTGGTTACGATAGTCACGCGGACCCCAACCAAGTAGTTTGCATCTACCAACATGGCTCAGACTAGAAGTTAGTGACTTCAAGCACTGATGCCACGTTTTGGTTTGGCCGCCCCTAACTTTCTTCCAACCATCCACTACACTAGTCAGCATTGCACGTCGTGGTAATCGGTGTTCAGGCATACGTAACACGTGGCCCAACCATCTCAGTCGATGAAGATTCACAACCTCATCAACTGATTTACCATCATTCCCTAATACCCTGCGTCTAACCTCACTATTACTTACCCGGTGATCCCAGCAGATGCGAGCAATATTTCTAAGGCATCTGTGGTCAAATACTAGTAGCTTACGAGTGTCTTCTACTCTTAAGGCCATGTTTCGCTGCTGTAAAGTAAAACAGAATGAACTGCCGCGCAGTATACTCGTCCTTTTATTGATAGACGGATATCTCGCCTTCGCCAAAGGTGACGTAAGTTGGCAAAAGCCAAACGAGCTTTACGAATCCGTGCTGAGATTTCGTCCGATACCAACCCATTAGGGCTGATCAGACTTCCAAGATAAGTGAAGTTGTCAACGCGTTCGACTACTTCACTCCCTATCCTTAGTTCAGGTGTTGACGCAGACCAGTCCTGAAGCAACAACTTGCATTTAGAGGGAGAGAAGCGCATCCCAAACATTCTGGCATTGTTGCTTAGTGCTACCAAAGACTCTGCATTTTGTCAGCGTCTTCACCAAACAGGACTATGTCATCTGCATATTCTAAGTCGATAAGTGGACCTCCTGGAAGGAGATCAATACCCGAGAATTCAGTCGACCAGAGTGTTATTTCCATCAGTAGGTCTATGATGAAGTTAAACAAAAATGGAGAAAGTGGACAGCCTTGACGGACACCACTTGAGGTTGCAAAAGTAGATGACAGTTCGCCATAAGCCCTGACTCGACTAGTAGTGTTCGAGTAAAGAGCCTTCACAAGGTTTATGTACTTCTGAGGTACGCCTTTCAATGACAGACACTGCCACAGATCTCGCGGTCTACAGAGTCAAATGCTGCTTTTAAGTCAAGAAAGACCACCATTGTCGGACGCCGATAAGTATGCCTGTGTTCTAGAACCTGACGAATGGTGAATATGTGGTCGATGCAGCCACGACCAGGTCTAAAGCCAGCTTCATTTTCTCGTGTTTGCAGTTCACGAGTCTTAGTTAGGCGCCAATAATTATCGAGGCTAGTATTTTAGATACTATATTTGTTAAACTAATCCCTCTGTGGTTGTCACAGGATGATTTTGACCCTTTCTTATATATTGGGACGATAAGTGATTGCGACCAGTCAGATGGGATAACGTCTAACTCCCAGATTTTAGCTAAAATATTAGTCAACCTAATCGCTAAAATTGGACCACCATCCTTAAAGACTTCTGGAGCCAATCCATCTGGACCAGCTGCCCTTCCTCGTTTCAGATTAACTATAGCCTTCTCAACTTCAGCAAGAGTTGGGGGACCTACTTCAATGTTCCATTCACATTGTCTGGGAATGGAGGGTAGTTGTAGAGTAGCTGAAGGCCAGCTGAACTGTTCTCTAAAATGTTCCGCCCATCGTTCTAAACGTCTGGACTGGGAGCAGATGAGAGTATCGTCTTTTTCCGAAATAATCTCACTTACACTTGACTTATTAATTCCAGTTTCTTTTATTAGTCTGTAAAGCTGTCTTGTGTTCCCTATAGTCGCCGCCTTTTCCATCTCTTTTGCTTTCGTTACCCACCACTGCTCACGGTCGTTCCTTAGACTTTTTCTTAACCTAGATCTGATTTGTTGTCGCTCTTCATCATGTTCAGAACCTGATGGGACGAGTTTGCGAGAATCCATCAGTGTGATAGACCTTGAAGAAATCCACTGGTTCTTTGTAACTCTGTGGTTTAAGTCACTAATAGATGTCACTGCTGTTTCCACAGCTGCTTGTATGCTTTCCAAGCAACATCTGGGTCAGCCTCGTCTTCACAACTACCTAAGTGTGACCTCAGTTGTTCCTGGAACCTACTTTTGGTTTTCTCGTTACTCAACTCAGTTCTAATGGGTCTTTTTAATGTGGCTTTTTTGCGTCCAGTGAGGCGCAAGCAGATGCGTGCCCGTATTAGGGCATGGTCGGAGTCCAAGCAGGTACTCCAGAATGAGCGACAATCTTCTACCGACCCTCTCCAACGATGACTGATGGCAATATGGTCTATTTGAGTCCATCGTTGGTTTGGTGTAGGGGGTCGCCATGTTAGACGATGTCTCTCCTTATGCTTAAAATTTGTGTTTGCTAAAAATAAACGATTGTCTGAGCATAGCTGCAGCAGACGATCACCATTATCTGTTCGCTGTGTCGGAATACTAAAATATCCACCTAAATGCCTTTCTGTTTGGTTTAAACTACCTATCTGAGCATTAAAATCACCTGCTACGAGTACTATGTCTGAGCGTTTAGCTTTCTGAAGAAGTTCGGACAGCTTTCTGTAAAATTCATCTTTCACTTCATCTGAGCTGCAGTCAGTGGGAGCGTAGGCAGAAACGACAAAAAGGCAACGACGTGTGTCCCTATCCTTCCGAGTTCTTACGTAGCCGTTCAGCCGAACAGCACATAGACGACTGTTGACGGGGATCCACTCTAGCAGTGCTTGTTCCGCCCTCATGCTTAGTGCTATGCCTACACCTGCCAGTCCACGAGAACTGCCATCGGGTCACCAGATACACGAAGGGTGTATCTCGTTGGCTCTCCGTTTGCCGAGGTGAGGTCAAGTGAATGACCACACTGGAATCCTGTATGCGTGTTTCGGAGACACAGCATACATCAATGGAAAGAGACTCTAGGGTTTTAGCCAAGGAAGCCTGCTGACCGATTTGACATAGGGTGCGTACGTTGAAGGCTCCAATGTGTAGTTTGGAGCGAGGTTTCAGTAGACCTGGGACAGTGTTTTGAGCACTAGAATCGTTGGCTATGGTGACACTTGAGGAGGAAGCCGAAGAGGAAGTTTAGAGTTGAAAGTCGATGTAGGAGGAATAATAGGAATTGAAAAGGGAGGTTGATTATGAATACAGTGGTCTTGAGTGCTGTTACAGGTATGAGGGCGGTTATCACTTCCCGGTTGCCCACACCGTGGAAGGGTTGTTCTGGAGGTACCTGAAAAGGAAATTGGATTAGAGGTGGTCTTAGTGACCTGAGAGCGTGACCGCAGTGCCCAAGGGACAACTGCTTGAGGCCGGTCGCGCACGGCCTTTTCGTGGGAGGTTTGTCGTGTTAGCTCCGTACTTGTTGAGACCTTACCGCCGGAGACGGATATCCGTGGGATAAGGTGAGGTGTGCATTTTTAGGGTCGACCTTTTCTAACCCCACCCCTCCTTGTGGGAAGGCAGCATCGCTGTCATGCTGGTTGTCTGAAGGAAACACCTTACTGCTGTCACACCTCTGTACAGTCAGCAGTACGACTTCGCCTTCGGACCTTGGGTTTGTTGCTTTTAGTCTTACCGCTCTTCAACCGACCTGTCTGACATGGTAGGACCTTGAGGAACGGTTGTTCCAGCCAGTATAGCTCGGTTGCTTCATCACGATAGGCAAGCCCGACCACCACGTCAAGGTAGCAACAACGGTCGGGATACAGAACGTTGTCTAATTCGTTTTTGAAATTTTAACATATCATTCAATTTTCATTGTATTTTGTGCATTTCTTATTTCAGTCTTTTTTAATTTCCAGGAATGCATCAACAAGGTGTATTTCGTGTCTCTGGTAGTCAGGCAGAAATTAATGACTTTAAAGATGCTTTTGAAAATGGGGATGACCCTCTGATTGGTATTCATGAGGCAAGAGATATAAATTCAACTGCTAGTCTGTTAAAATTATATTTTCGTGAACTAGGCGAGCCTCCATTTCCAGATACCATTTTCTTAGAACTTATAGACATAACACGTAAACGTAAGTAAGCTTATATATATATATATATATATATATATATATATATTCGAGATGATTCCAAAGGTAAATGGTCTCAAATAATTATTGAAATATGCTGTTTCTAATAACTCTGTTTGTGCACACTCCAATATTATTGTTCATTGTGGTTTTTCCAGTTCTCTTTAACCGTGATGATTCTGTTCAGTTACTAAGATGCTAACAAAAATGTAATTTCTTTATTCATCAAACGTTTGTAACTTCCCAATTAATGTATTTTTAAAACACAATTTTGTCAACACGTTCATTTAAAAGTAATAGAAAACATTGAAAAGGTGAATGTAAGTGAACATTGTTATGTAAGGAGATTATTAACTATGATATTCATCACTCATTAAGGTGGATTCTAACAATGGTTCTTCAAAGTATAGGTTATCACGTGACTGCATCGGTCGATCCAATAAGAATGCCTTTTTGAGCAAGACAAACCCTTTAATAAACGAGAGGAGTCGTTAAATGCATATACAACTATATGTTTGTTGGTGGGACCACGTGTGTTTTAAATATTGTTAGACGTTATGAACGTACTCGATATATATGATAGGTAATACATACTTTGAACTGGAAAATGGTTAGTGCATTAGTTATTGATCCAAAAGTCTTAGAAAGTTCATTATCTCAATGGTACGTTTTTATTACATCACAAGAATTTCTGTCTGTTCTCATGTATCACAAACTTCTTGCACTGAGATGGTTTATTGAGGACAACTTTCAATCTTATCATGGGAAATCAGACCCCAATCAGCCTAGTTACGAACATTATATTTGAAAAAGACTAAACATAGTTAATTAGTATTTGTTTTTTAGTACCATACATTCTTAACGTCATCGATAATTGTGAGGATTTCGTCAATCTTGAGTATAGACAATTGTAAGCAACCTAAAATCACTGACGATTTGTTAAAATATGTGGAGTTTTCTATCTGTGTGATGGACCAACCCCTGAGATTTTTAAGAGTAGTGGTTCAATTCTATCAGTTAGATTAACTGAGATCGTAGCTAAAATCCGGGAACTGAATGTGATCCCAACTGACTGGTCCCAGTCTATGAGAAGGGACAAAATCCTCTTGCAACAATCACAAAGAAATCAATTTAACTAATATAGCCTAAAATATGAGCCTCGATAATATTACGACGTCTAAGTAGAGCTCGTGAAGAGCTAACCTGATGAAACCGAGCTGGTTCCAGACTTGGGCGTGGGTGTGTAGATTAAATATTTGCCCTTCAGCGGGTTTGGAAACCTAGACGTGCTTTTAGACGTCTGACAGTAGTTGTATCCCTTAACCTTAAGGGGGATTCGACTCTATTGGTTGTGAGGTCTTGTAGCAGTGCCTGTTATTGAAAGGTGTACCAAAGAAGTACACTAATCTTGTACAGGCTCTCTACGCGAACACTGTTGGTGAGCTATCATTGGAATCGGTTACTTCAAGTGGTGCTCGTCAGGATTAGTTCGGGGCGGCCAAACCAAAACAAGACATCAGTCCATGAAGTCACTGACAATTGGACTGAGCCATATTATTAGGTACAATTTATTCGGTTGGGATCCAGGTGATAATTAGATACTTTGAACGACATAGTTCAAAATCGTTTGCAATTGTGTAAGTGCATCCATTCTTTGTTCCCCTCTCAATCTTGAGGTTCTAAATTCCTGATAACTATTTTTGTTTTTATTTCACTAAATTATATTTTCTCTTCATGTCATATCCTTGATGCCTAACCTTCCTTATTACTGCTAACACTATTACTACTTTTACTATTCTGGGATTTGGTTTGACAACTTCATCTCTCTGTTCTAATGGGGTATGATAACTTTCATTGATTTACGTACGTAACTTCATACTGTCACGAAGTCAAATATTCCACTGTATTACATAACCCGCAAATCTTTCTCTTAAATTACATATAAATTATCCTCATCACATATGTAAGCAAACCGAGATTGGTAATGTGTTTTGCGAAAATTCGCATGCATTGTTATTCTTGGTTCATTTAAGCGTGTAGCATAAACCAATTGCATGAAATAATTGGACTATTGAAAGTCATTGTTTTAAACCTAGTTGATTTACATATGTGCATACCGTTGACCATAAACTGTTTACGATTGTTTATGCAGCTATCAAAATCTAATTGATACCTCAACGAGTTAAATAGGCTTTATTATGACTTATAAACAATGATATATATATATATATATATATATATATATATATATATATATATATATATATATATATATATCATTATTTATAATGATGAAAATATTTTACATACGATTTTTGATCTCTACCTCATTATCATAATTGAACTATAAGAATTAATTATATTGTATGTTGTAATGTTTATGTCTTTAAATGCTTAGTCGTAATGCGACTCTGATGATGATAACGATTATGAAATAGTCAAGTAAGCCAGCTGTAAACGAATTCGATTAGATGTTTATGTAGTATGTGTCTAGTCATTCAAACAATGTATTATTATCTATGGAATTGACGTTTTGCAACTTGGTCGGTAGGATTTGATCTGCCTTAAGAAGGATCTAAAATACATGACATTGATCACCATCCAGTGATCAGCCATTTGTAAATACATCTCAGTACTACATGAGGTTAGTCACGGCCCGGGTAGCTCAGTTGTAATGTCTCTGACTGTGAAGCTGGGTGACATGGGATCGAATCCGTTAGGGAGCATCAGTCCCCTCAAGACTACAGATACACCTTGCTGATGTGTGCCAAGAAGCACGAAACTAAGGTCCAGGGTTTCCTGTTGATTATTTTTAACCACCATCCTACGTTTAAAGTGAAAATAAACTTTTCATTCCAACACAGCTATTAGGATAAGAATTATAACATTTCATTATGATGTGTGCTGGTATGAATGTTTCATATCGCAACTTTTTTAATATGAAACAAATACTTCATGCTATGAGTTGCATGATTAGTATATTTTATACATGCATGGTAACAAAATGTCCATGTGTAATAAGCCATGGAAGAAATCAACTTTTATCTACTTAGATACAGGTTCGAACCCTACTCGATCTATTTTAGTTTCGCTTATCAAGTGATGGTAATTAGTCTTCTCACAAAACGTGTTTGGCTCGAAAAATGAGTTCATGAACTGGGTCACTGATTTGCTTATAAAACAGTTGCTATACACATCATTTAATAAGAGCAGGTCATTTAGTTTTCTTAACATAAAATAATATAACCCGTAGTGTCATTGAATAAGAAAAAGAGAATTCAGCGAAGAAAATTTTCTTTTCGACGAAATCATTTACTTAAGCTGTACATTCGTATATATAGTTATATGGAAAATGTATGTCTATAGAAGGATAGAATGGATTGTATCACAAAAATGGATTCGACATTAAATAACAAATGAGGTTACGTACTAATCAAGGGGTAAGGAAGAACAAAATTTAAGGGTCAGATAATAGTCCAATTGACAGATATGAAGAAAAACGACAAAACAACAAAGGTCACAATAATAGACTGAATAATAATCAAGAAAACTTGTAAAAGGTAATAATAATAAATGATTAGAGTTTAAAGTGCAAAATGTAATAATAAAAGTGCAATAAAAAAACACCTAAAAACATACCCATTAAGGGAATTAGGGCCAGGGCAGGATGAGAGGTTGGACAAATCGTTTCTGCACGCAAAGTTCAGGCTTTAGTTTGTGGATTGCCAATGCCTCTGCGGTGCATAAAATATTGATTCGAACCCCCTTCGATCCCGTTCCTTTGACTCTGTAAACTATTTTAAACGAAGAGTCTTTTGGAGCGATATGTCCACAGTTGATTAAGTGCTCCTGTATAGAACTCGTGATTGTTTTTCGCTCCCCTTTCAAGAGCCAAGCCGGATAATGTTCAGAGATGCGTTTGGATAATGATCGCTTTGTGCGGCCTATGTAACATGCCCCACATGAGCAAGTAAATTTATAGATACACATTGAAGTGGCCCAAGGCGAAAGTTTGTCCTTAACACACCCCAGAATGGTAGGTCGGCTAGAGAAGGTGATTCGAAGCTTCGCTGCGTGGAATGTTTTATTCAATGATTTCGAAATCCGTTTATTTAGGATTTCAGCAGCCGTATCTCCCTTAAATTCCATATTCATAAATAGAGTTTTTTTCTCTACTGTCAATGCTTTGTCATGAGGTCTAGGTACCAAGTTTCTGTCGATGAATCCATTTTTGTGATACAATCCATTCTATCCTTCTATAGACATACATTTTCCATATAACTATATATACGAATGTACAGCTTAAGTAAATGATTTCGTCGAAAAGAAAATTTTCTTCGCTGAATTCTCTTTTTCTTATTCAATAAAATAATATATTGCACAAACGGAAATTTCTCTACTAATGTTCGTTAATACTCTAAATTACTATTTTTAATAAAACAATTGACCTGAAATGTCTTGCTTAATTTATATTCTGATATATGAGGTGAATAACTATGGCCATTACATAAAATTCTATTGGCATTAGCAATTATAATGCTCTGTTAATAAAATAGTAAACTGTTCAAAAAATTAGGTCAAGGCGAATCATTGATAAAGTGTAAAGAATACATATCCAACACAAATATATTTTCTAAGCTTATTCAAATCCTCGTCAGTTTACTAATGGCATTGATTTGCTCTTATTTCTATCCGTATCCTTTGTCAGAAACAAAGTGGAACCTGACGCAGTAGTGTGGTGTATTCGCCCAGGTTATTAAACTCTATTGGTATATATATATATATAGTTCACTTAGCTATATGGTTTTATTGTGGAGCTTTCGTTATCGCTCTAGACAACACCACCAAAGCTTACTTCATGTAGAAGTGAGCTTTCTAGTTGTACTACAAGCTTTATATCAGTTTCTCCTTGTGGTCACTAGGACAGAGAAAGGAAAATATCACAATTCGAGGAAAAATTTAAAATAATATCATTAATTTTTTTGATAACATATTAGACAAAAAGAATGTTTAAACTAAACAGAACAATTGAGACCGTGAAATTAAACTTTTCTTGTAGACAATTAGCGCCGCTTGTTAACACAACATGGAGTTTTCACCATTAATTTAACTTCCTTCTATCTTCATACCTTTAAGCAATCTGGTAAACGTGCTTAATGATATTCATTTGTAATGTTACGTAACTACTTGGAAGTGCAAATCGATCATGTTGCATCAAATTTTGAATGAAATACAGATTTTCTATTTCATTAGGAATTTTTCAGAGTTGTTTTCCAAACTGAAATTTCAGTTTTCCAATCAGTCTAAAGCTTAATTAAGCATTCTCATCAGTCATTTACTTTTATTGCTTCGTAACACTTACAAAATCATTTGACAATGAAGTGCTAATCGGAAGAATCTGTGTTCTCATGTTTTGTTCGAAAGATGCTTCTATTAGGAACTATACAATAGAAATATATAATATATGTATGATCGACCAATCAATTGTAAATACCACAGTTTTACTAGTGGTCAATCGCGATTCGAATAGGTCAATAGTTAAGTATCAGATTGTGAAGTCGGATGATGCGGGCTTAAATTCTGCAGCGAACATCAATTCACTCAAGACTGGCGGTGCTCCTTGCTGATGAGTGCCAACTTGCACCGAGATCTCTGTCTAGGGTTTTTCTGTCGACTACTTACAATTATCTAAAGTCTGTTGTTTATTTATGGACGTTTTTTATTTGTCTCTGTAATCATTGTTAATTGCTTTTTCTCACCATCATTTTCTTTGTCAGATCGGGAAATCAGTGAAATGATTCGACGCTTACGTCATGTGATCACAGAAAATTTGAGTAGACCAGTTTTTGTTGTAATGAGATATTTATTCGCATTTTTGAATCAGTAAGTTATTATGTTATCTTAGTGTTCAGAGTTTTTATTTTCACTAATTATTATATGCTAAATAATATCAGAAGACTTCAATCTTCAGCGAAAAAATTTTTCTCGTCCCGGGCTTACTTCATGTTATATACACTATAAGCAGTACTAGTTTTGAATTATAAATGACGGTGATTTAAGCTTTCAGACAATCAATACATTTTCGTTTGTTTATGATTATTTGAATTAAAGTTACTCAACGATACCGTTGAAATAATGATAAATTTAACTTCTTATTGGTCCATGTGAATTTTCATTTGAGCATCAGTAATTTTACTGTTGAAACGAGTCATTTTCAAATGATTTTTCAGTGTGTAAATAATTTTCTTTACAAACTAGTGTAATTTACAAAACAAACGAAGCCTCGCTAGGCATAAACATTATTACCGTACATACACAGATTCGGACTGAACTATTCCTCAACTGATCTCAGCATGTTATTAAAATTAGTTCAAATATGTAAAAAAAACCCACAAAAACAACGTAAACCAGGTCAATTTGGTCAGATTTCAGTGACATTCTGTGACCTGTAAATTCAGCATTCAGTCAGTAACTCGGCTTTAACACCAAATTGTTCTACTTTCTTATGTATTGGGCAACGTTGTTAATATGAACCATTTAATTTCAACTCAATAATCAAAATTAATCTTGCTTGTCATGATATCTGAGGATCATGAGCTTAATTCATTGTGTATTTATAAATGTGTACATTGTTAATGAGTTGCACTATTTAAACTGGCTTTTTAATTGATGTCATTTCAAGATAAACATTGATGATCGACAAAATTCGATGAGAAATATGGGATTTGACAGGTATAACAACTGCTAAACATTTAAATTGTTTATTTCATTGAATCGAATCTACCAAGTATCGAATTCGTAAAGTATAACATATGGACCGCAAATTTAGCTACCCTAGAAATGAACTTTGAGTATAGCAATAAATATGTATAATCAGTAGTCTTCACTACCAGTATATGATTAATGCTTAAATGATCATAGTTTTCCCATTCAAAGAACGCAAAGTATGAGAATGATATCGACGGTGTTTTATAAACAATGTGTTTCATAAGATTTTTCTTTTCATATAATAATGATTGGACACAGTGAATATATCAAGGAAATTAAATTGAATAGATTTACATATAAAATGAAATGTGGTTGTTTACCTATCGAAATTGATTCAATATATAAACAAGTATATACACAATGAATTAAACTTTACCAATAACATTTACTCTACAACATTACAACTTGTTAATACATGACAATAAATAATTGTTGAGAAAAAATTTAAATGCACGTCCGACATCAACATATTCAGGCACACGCATCTTTACACCATAAAGACATATAAATACCTAACAGTCAGAGTACTAACAATACATACTAGTTTTTGCATGAATGGACACACTCATACGTTATTAAACTTACAAATATTGTCATAGTTAATGTTTTATTGATTAGAGATAGTATAGAATAATAGAATATTTAATAATAGACAACATCTACAATCTGAACTGTACTTTACGCGAGCAAATATTGTGAATAAATGTCCCTGTGAGGTGGTCTGTTGTCAGTCATGTTACTTTTGTGATACTGCGTGTATGTGAAATCATAATAGCAATAAAAGTAATCATAATATTAATCAGTGATTAAAAGTGATTTCTATCACAGAAAATACTATTACTTCAAAGGTGTATGTATATCATGCTATTATTTCCTACTAAACGATCTTATGTTGTATCTCATTGAAATTATAAACCGACCAATGTTAGACCGCCTTTGAAAACCTGGAGGCACTGGACGATCTTTGTGCCTCGGTGTGAAGCTCCTCAGAGGTGTGCATTCGCGTCCGTACGTGGGAATTGAACCCATAAACTTTGTCCTCGTGCGTAAATTCTTAATATCGAAACCATTAAACCGGCGAGACCGGAGGTTCCGGGTTCGACTCCTGCGTGCGGGGTCGTGGATGCTCACTACTCAGGAGTCCCATACTGAGACGAAATGGCAGTCCAGTGTTTCCAGGTTTTCAAAGGTGGTCAACATTGATCAGTTCATGATCTCAAGGAAATTCGAAAACATCGACAACCCCATGCTGATCTTATACTGACTAGTGGGAGTTGACTAAAGGATTATAGAACAACAATTAAAACAAAGATGATATCAGAGGAAAATCTGTATTTCAGGAAGCTGTAAGCATAGTCAAACTGTAATAATAAAAGATATGAGCGAGATGAAATTTTATGTGAAAATGAACACTCGACTACAACACTTGTAAAATCAAAGCTGCTAGAGAGAGAGAGAGAGTAAAAATAATTCATTATCGAAAACCATTCTACGTATGAAAAAACCCAATAATTATATCAATCTTAAGTTGCATAACTCGAAAGTGTTATCACTAAACTTTGGTTATCAAACTGGTAATTAATGAAGCAATTAGAATTGTCTTAGTGATTAATATTTTTGAAGCTGTGAAAAGCTACATAGCATAGATTTCATTTCGAACAAACAATCAACAGAACTGTCATGAATATTTAATAAGTTAATGCATTCAGGTTATACATTTGAGAAAATATGTGAACTGACTCATGCAAACAAGTTGGATGACTTAACAGTGTACACTTACAACTCCACTAAAGCAAAATCCATTTTATTCAGTTATGGTATTATCAACGATAACTTTTGATCAGTGCTTTAAAATTCAATAATCCATTTTAACGTCAGTCAAATTGTAACCATGCAACTTGATTATCTGACGATAGTATGCCACTTCAGATTTTATAGGCTACAGGATGTCACTGAAACTTCATCAAATTCACCTAGATGCAAGTTGTGAGTAGACGGCGCATGATTATAGTTAACTATGCTGTTTTGTAAAGTTTTTGGACAAATCGAAAACAATTTTCATGGTATGCTGACGTCAGTTGAAGAATCGTTAAGTCATACATTGTGTACAGTGGTTGCGAGTAATTAAAACTGAAGTGTTATAGGGTAAATTAAAGCAGCTGTTGTGTAAGGCTTCATAGTTGTCAATGATTTTACACTTCATATTAGTTCGTAAGGAGAATCTCTATTACATTATAGCAAATATCTGTAAATGTAGTCTAGTTAATTTTCAAAATATTTGTGAGAATTGTGATTGATTTTTCCTTTATTGAAACTTTTGATTGATTTAGATGGTGGTTGGAGGTAGTCAACAGGAAACCCGGGACCAGGGTTTCCTGTTGACTACCTCCAACCACCATCTAAATCTCAATATATAGTGCCCGCAGTGTCGAGTCACCTAGACTGGTGGCCACATTGCAACATGATCGATAGCATTCGATCTGCACTAATAAGGACTAGACAAGCATGACATTGATCACCACCCAGTGATCAATCAATTGTGAAACTTGATTGTCTTTTTTATTGGTACCGACATCAAGATACGAGCGAAATGCTTTAAATAGGTCAATAAACGATCAGTGTTTTTATTATTTTTTCTGTAGGATGTTTTCCACTTGAAATTTACTTCTTTTCTTACAATAACTGAATCGCAATTATTTTGATGTAGCGTTGTATTTGAATGTTAATCTAAGTAATTTGTTAAGTTAAGAAGCAAGTTTTCAAATCTTAGCTGCACATTTATCATGCAAAATCAAATCATAATGGCGCTCATCATAAATGTACTTATGGTTGTCGGTTGTTTCAATAGAACTACAGCTTTACATTGATCTGTTATTAGTTTTCGTGACAGGATCCGTGGAGATTGTAGAATTTTCAGAGTTTAAATCACGAACTCTTCATGGCTAGAGCACCATTAAAAACCGGGAAATACTGGACACGTGTTCTTCATTCACAAACTATTGATCTCTAGACCAGTAAATCGACACTCAATGATATATGTGTCTAACTTTAGTCGATTCTTGATATTGCTCGACCGTCTTCCGTTGCCTGCGGTGGATAACTGTCTCACACTCGACATGGTTGTTATTAGTAAACACGGAAATATTCTATTGTTTTGAAAGAAGATACTCATTGAGTGAATTCCATTTATCCAACTAGGTGCTAACTAGATTTTAGTAATTTAACAATCCTTACAGTACATTCAAAAATTAAGAACAATAATTTACAATAACTTCATCCACCAGTTTCGCTACTATTAATACATAATTATTATTGTATCACAGTTCGCAAGATGATGGTTATTTGAAACAAACTGGGTTCATTCTTCTATTTTAAGAAAGAAGGTCCATAATAATAATGATTGTTTTTAATTTTCTTCTTTAAATTAGTTTAATTATTCAGTATTCTATTTGTTATTCATAAATGAAACAATTCATGGTGTGATGTAATGTTTTTTGTACATCCGGTTAAATATATTCATATATATTCATGTTGACGATTGGTTATCCATTAAGATGACTGATGATCACAGTTTTTTTGCATAACTAAAGTCAGTTATTGCAATCGATTTCCGTAAATAATGTACTACATGTATGTATGTATGTATGTATGTATGTACGTATGTATGCAGCATGCGTTTTTTAACTGTATGTCTGTGTGTATGTTGCAAGTTGTACAACTATTGTTTAGTTTCCACGATATTTTCGTGAAGAGTTTGATTACTTTTTACGTTCGCCCCGAACCCTATGACCTATTTTTCTCTCATTAATTTCATTACTGGCTCAAATAAAATGTATCAAGGGTTGCGTTGTAATACATTAATAACTTCCCCTGTATTATTGATTTAACCTTTAAGTAATGAGAATGAATAATATGAAATAATTCTTTAAAAAAATTAATATAAGCTGAGAAAGAAGTGTGTACGTGACTGTGACAGCCCGACAGATTCATCATATCATAATTTGCATGCAAGAAATAATTTTAACGTTGATGACTATCGGTATTTTATTGTTCTTAAAGAGTGAATTAATGAAGAGTCTATGTTTCTTCGAATTGCATAACAAAGAAAGGCATGTAATTTGCTTGAACTAAATAGATATTATTTGAAATACTGTTCATGATTTATATACAGAGATGGATAGTGGCTAGTAGTGGAATCCAGGACGCGTGTTTCGTCCTACTTCGGACTCGTCAGCTGGGTATACCTGCTATTCATGATTGTTTTTTTTTTGGAAAGCAGGAAAAAAGTTCACAACTAACTAGTGTTTTTGCGATTATGTAATTACTACAGGCAAACACGAATTAATAATAAGTAGTGAATTGATTTTTTCATGTGTTAAATTATTGTTCCGCGTACATGAGGAAAAAAAACTAGAAATTTAAACATTGATAGATAGCTTTAATGAAAGTTAATCCTATCTATAAAAAAACTGATGTAACTTACAGAACTTAGATGTATACTATTAGTGACCGTGTAAACTACTGATAATGTGCGAGCAAATAATTTTAATTGCAAAAAATTATCATTCTAAATAATGATATGTACAAAAAAGTTTTGATCACAAATACTAATTTCACTTTGTTATTTTTCTTCTACTTATTTTCTTTCTCATTAGTGTATCTGAATATTCTAATGAGAATATGATGGATGCATACAATTTGGCTATTTGTTTTGGTCCAACATTAATCCCTATTCCAAGTGAATATAATCAATTACATTGTCAATCAAGTGTTATTGATTTAATCAAACTACTCATTGTACATCATTTAGTAATCTTTGATCATATGCTACCTGGACCTGTGTATACCAAGAATAAGTATAATATTAGCACTAATAAAACTACAAGTCATAAATCTGTGACCAGTTTAGACTCACATCGTTTATCACTTTCGTCAAATAATGCTATCGAGATAAATGCAGATAAACAACATATTAAGGATGATAGTAGTAATTCATTCAAACAAAACTTTCATAATACATGTCAATTTTCAATGGAATTAAATGTTAAACACCAATCAACTACACATTTGGATCATGTACAGAGTAATGATAATAATAATAATAAAATTTCACCCGCGGAATGTGGTAAAGCATCAAGTGTTGGGTAAGGTTTTTTGTTATCAAATTCTGTTTAGAATTGATATTTCATGATACATTTGACCAGTTGTTCCTTATGATATATAAATTAGATATTTGTTTCATGCTTTTCCTAACGTTTATCTCTTTGATTCTAATTTCCTAGGATCACTCACAGCTTTTGAATATATATTCCATTATTACCAACTGAAATTATTCTGTTATGTTAGTACTAAAATTGCGTCATTATTCATGAAGAACTTGTTAAAGTTTTAAAAAGAAATACGTTTATTGACTTACATTGTTTATCAAGCTAACATACGTAGTGTAGAATATTAGGATATTTTATTTGATCGTCCAAATTCTATATTGATGACTTTCATTCATTACCTCTACTCCACTGCTTATCCATAGGTCCAAACAACGATTAGCAATCACGTTTAATTATTAAATGCCGTTGATAATAGTCTATACCGAATAACTTGATAATTTATAATAGTCCCTGCTTAATTAACAAATAAATCTTATCGTGTTTCTTTTTATTTTAGCAAAAAATGGAATATTAATATTTAATTCATTTGTATTAGTTGCTTGAATCTTCTCAGTGATGCTTAGGACTGCAATTCATCAGTCCGTTTTTGCCATATTTGCATCATGTTCAGATCGTCTCGACATTACAATTAAGCCACAAGCATTATAAGCAGAGATAGATGGTGGCTAGCTGTACATTCTAGGATGTATATCTTGTTCTGTTTGGGACTCGTTATTTGGATGTACCTACGTCCCAGAGTTGATGTGAAAAGAAATTGATCGATTGTAGTCCTATACATCAATGAGAAGATTCAAACAACCAATACAAACGAATCAAACTTCACCTGATTACAAAAGCTGGTGGCTATCTGGACTCCGTAGCTAAGTGGATGACGTGATGGCATTTGAAGAGAACAGTTACGGGTTCGAGTCACGGCGTAAACATCCAGCTGTTGAGTCCCAAGTAGGATGAAACCTGCGTCGTGGTTTCCAATGCTAGCCACCATCCTTCTCTGCTCATAATAATAATAATAATAATAATAATAATAATAATAATAATAGTGTTTTGTTATAGAAATTTTATTTTGTCGGTTTATGGGTTACTTAGTAGTTGAGATTATGAATAAACGGCCTGAATAACTCCCACGAACTGCATAGAAATCCACTCTTCAGTAAGAAGTCTGAAACTGGTAACATAGAGATATAAAATTATTCCATGAAATCATTGACTGTAGTTTAAACTGTGTTGATTAGCAATAACCTCCTGGTTTAACCCTGTAAGATTTGTATTTCTTGACTTCAGATGATTTGGCTGAGAATTGGTGTATGATACAAATGCATTCATCTATGAAGAATTAGTAGATGACTTTATATCTCAATAAAACTGTATGAGTGAAAATTGATTGATTATGTCATTGTTTTTCATATTACTGTTTTTCTGCTGTTGTGAAGTATTGCCGACCGTAGTCGATACATATTTATACGTTGTTTTTAGCTAACTAAATGGCAATAAATATTATGAAGTCAATTTTAAAACATATCGACTGAAATACTATATTATCATGATATTTCTTTGATAATATGGAACACTGACCAAATTCAAACATACCATAACTACTTAAAATATTATCGAAGAATTGTTCTGTCGTATACACACATTTTATACCGTTATTACTACACTGTTACTAGCTTATACATACATCATCAGTGTTTGAAATCGATTTTAGTTGAAAAGAAGTACTGATGGTGTTATTGTTTTTAAAGGAATACATAAATTTATTTCAAAACGATAAATTTGTGATATTCATGTTTTTTTTTATCAGTCACTTATATTTTTAAGATTGGTTTTTGTTCCTAATGTAAAATATTTAAAACTTTGTAATCGATGATGAATAATGTAAAACTTTACTTATCAAGTACAAATTCATGTACTTAACTTTGAGTCATACTTTGTAATATGCAATCTATATTTATTACACAACTATCCAAACCGAGGTCGATGAAACAAAGGTCGAGCTTTTAGCCTAATGGTTAGAAGTTAACAGCTTTAACCAGTAATTGTAATCCATTGCTTCACTTATACTAGGATTGTATTTCTTGATTTCGTTCATTTGAATAGTTTAACTTATTCATTAATTTTATTAACATTTTAATTAGTAACCAATATTCATTTGTACATAGTTGTATTTTAATTGTTAATTATCTCTCTTTATTAAAATAATTCTCTTGTATATTATGACAACAAAAAAAGAGATTAACTTTAATTATTGAAAGATATCGTTGTTATTTTAATGATCATTATTCTTAATATTTTTCACTTTTCTGTCCATTGGAATGTTTTTATTTCTCAACATACTACAATAATTAATGACTTTTTCCAAGAAAAAAAAACAGAAGAGAGAATCGACTAATATTCAGAAAGAAGTGCTTTTCTCTATTTTAACGTTATTGTCTAAAAAGTAAAAATTATCATTTTGTGTTATTTTTTATCAATAAAATATAGCAATCTAATTGACAATGAGACATTATCTTCGTCTAAGCAAAATGAAACTGTTAGAGATGATGACTACGTGTTTTCTGAAGATGTCCAATCCATATCTGATAGTGAAGGTTCGTTTCGATTTATATTTTCTTTTATATGTCGATAATACGGTTAATGGTGATGTTCCATTTATGTACTATACTACCTTCATGTAACGTTTTTTATGAGTTCATCGTTTTTTTTGTGTGCGTGAGTGGTTTAGATATACTAAGGCTTAATAATACAAATGTATAGTTATAATTTATGTATATTCAATCTCTATCTATGTTCAATTTTAATTTAATGGCATCGTTTCACCAAGATAGAAACAATCTTATGTTACATGTAAATTATATGTGGTATTTATGTACAAGAATGAGCGACATGCATTTGCACTAATGTGTATGTACGCTTGAATAGTACACTTTTTTAAAACATGAAATGTAACTTTTTTGTACTCTGTAGAAACAAACATTTCTGTCTAAAAAGAATCACTATTCACTTTTAATATATACTCACTTTAATAGTTACTTGCATAATTGAATTTTTTACGCATTTGTTATTTTATTTCATATTCGGTCTTCGAGTTTATATAAATTATTCACAATATTTGGATGATACGGAAACTATTTCATGCCAAGTAACCAATTTAGGTAGAGTTGTATTCGAGTTATAATGTAAATAACTGATGACGGTTTCATTTGTCAGACGGTAAGGTAGCTGTTGCATTATTTGTAACCTCAGAAGTGATTGGTACAATACAGTAACTGTATACAAGATGGTAATAATAGAATAGTTAGTGAGTATTTGTGTACCAAACAGAAGGTTCGTGTTTTTTATTTTGTTGTAACGGGTGGACTGCAGGTTTTGATAAGCAGCGTTTTTATCGATCGAATCAGTGGCACGTAGAACACGTAAGGACGACCTAGAGTCCCGATTGGTCCAGCTCCCCTGTTTAGCCTAGCCAGTTGAGTCTAGAACGCAAGTCACAGCCTCTGAGTTATGAATCGTTATATTTCAAACATACTCTGTTTATATACCAACCAAACAGACCACATCGTACCATAAAAATAGAAAACAACATCTGTACAATATTTGACGAGTGAAATAAATAATGGCCAATAGGGAATGTCCATTTAACGTCCAAGGACATCATTAGACTTAACATGATAATGACTGGCACATTATTCTGCATCCATAACATATTTGTTATTATAATGATTAATATGACATGTCTCCCGTATGCGAATGGTAGGAAATCGTTTTTTAAAGCGATAATCCACTAGACACTAGACCGACATCGAGAGGTACATTATCATGGCTACTGTTGGCCAAATTACGTTTTTATATCGCTTCTTCTTTTCAGATCTTAGAGTCTGTTTGCACCGCTGGTTTGTAATCGACTTTTCCAACACTCAAGTTAACCGCTTATGTTTCATTACCAGAGAAGGTCAGATTATAGATATTTTTGCATACTAAACCCCACAACCAAAATCATCTTAATTGGGTTTGGTATTTAGATATTTTAGTCTGCATGATTAACAAGATAGATTGCTAAATGTAAATGAGTACATTAATTTATTTCCAAGGTATTCCCATAGATAGTTTGTTACTTTTTAGGTTGAAATATTTCCTGCTGAACTACTTTTTCATTTTAAGGTATTTTTAAACAAACATATCTTTTATAGTTATATATATATATATTCATTTATTTAAAAATACAGATTCCGAACCAGCGTACACTTTAGCTGTCGCTCGAGCAGATTTTACTGGATCAAGTGAACGGGAATTATCATTTCATCAAAGTGATGAGATTTTTCTTTATCGTCAATTAAGTCAACATTGGTGGGAAGGACAATTAGCTTCAGATTCGAGTTGTAAACGTGGCTTAGTACCACATTTATATGTTGTACCGAAAGCTGCTCTATTACACCTTGCAGCATGTGAAGAAGATAATCACAGCAATGAAAATCATCTGTTAAATGAGATGACTATTGATCTTTCTAAAAAGAGTGGATATACAGCAATTGATGGAAGTTTAAGTAATTTAGATCATGTCGATGCTGTTAATAATGATGATGATAGTAAAAGTGTAACAGAAAATGGTAGTGTACTCAGTTGGAATTGTCCTTCTGAAAGTTCAAACGAAAATATTCTTTCTGATACTAATGATAGTAAAGTGCATCATTTATCACAGTCTGAAACTCCAATTTCAATAGTTGACAAATCAAATCAATCGGAAACAATAACCTTGTCTAAAACTATTCACGATAGTTCTATTCTCAAAGGGAATTCTTCAGTGATTGAGATTTCTGATAAAGGTGAAATATTTTATGTAATTACGTAGTTATTACTTTGTTATTAGTCTATTATTGTAACCGATAGAACAATATACATCCATACATTTTGTTTCTATTCTACTGCTTCTACTCCATCTGCCAACACGTATTGAGGTAGATAGTGATTGACTCAGTAGATTTGTAGTTCATACTGTAACCATTTCATTTGATGCAAAAGTTTCATTTGAGTTGAAAGTAATGAAGTATGTAGACTAAAATCATGTGTATAAATCAAATTCTAAAATTAGATGATTGAATGTATTTCATCCTATAAATCTATGAAGTATTATTTGCCTTTAATGGAACCACCGAATGAGTTTAAAGTCACGACGTGCTAGGGAAGAAGAGGATTGTGTTAGACTTTCATCGACTGAGGTAGTTATAACATATATTCTCTAATCCGACATGTTTCTTCCAAATCTTTTTTTAAAATTTTTTTACTCCCATTATTCTCGGTATTATTTTCCATCTCGTTAATTTCTTTTCAATATACTGATGTGATATGTGGAAACCTGAGCCAATAAGCATTCATCCCAGGTCGTACATTTCTGATGACGGACTTTATTTCAACATGTGTTAAGTACTTTACTTACAACCATCGAGTTCATATTTTAAACTGTAGGTATCTAGTTAAGCATGTAGTGCAGAAGGCTTATTATGCTCATAGAGTTTCATTTAGCTCCACTATTTGAATCATAGTAAAGAACACAGTTTCACTTTCTAGCGGAAAACTCAAACACCATTCTGTGATGCAGAAACGATAATACCTGTGTATTGACCCATTTCAAAACGCGTTGTTTGATTACAACAATATTAATTAAGCTAGAATGGAGTAGTCACATAGAGTCAGATTTTATATTAATCATAACAAGTAACTGAATGTTTCAATTCCCATCGATTTTAATGTCGTATTCCATACTTTATTTTTTGTTTTAAAATCCAGGTGTAAAATCGACTATTTGTAAGGAAAGTCCAAATAGTACATCAGAATCTCCCGAATCTAAAGATAAAAAGTCTTTACCAGAATTCGGTTATTCAGATAAACTCGTGATGCATCGGTTTAATCATCGTTATACTATTGGTTATCCAGCCTTTGGGCCTTTAGGTTCTGTTCCTGAAAATGAAGTTATATCACCCAGTGAATTAACTCCATCATCTCCTGTGTATAGTTTAAATGAAGCCAATAATCGTTGCCAATCTGTAGGCGAAGGCAGCTCTCGATTTTTGTTTAATTCCGACGTTGATACAGCTTTAGAAGAGGTAAGTTTTCATCTAAAAGAACCGATCATAATACTTTTACCAGTTTATAGTTTATTCAGGATAACTGTCTGATTATATATATATATTACCTTTTATCGGCAAAATGTTTTGTTAATCCCTCTCATTGATTAATATCCACCTGGTTTTCTAGTGAATTGAATGTTTAAATATTCAACCATAATTACTTAGTTGTGGTTATCAACCACTGAAATTCGTTGTCCAGCAGTGACCTAGTAGGTAAACCTTACAACTAAGTTGGTTGCATTTTCTAACTCCGTTTGACCTACTTCAAATAGGGAGACCAAGTAGTATATCTGGCCTTCACACTAAGGAAATGAGTTTATTGATGTTTGAAACAACAGTAATGACTTGTGTAACACTGAGTTTGAAAACATTTTTATCTCTACGGAATTTTTTCAACTTTGGAATTTCGTTCGTCGTGACCTCTTGAAGCACTAACTTTTCTGTTATCATAAAATATAAATGTTCATCACCTTATTTTACAATATTTTTATTCAACTTGGGATTTGTTAATATCAACTTACTTCACTCATCATACATACCGAGAAACCGTTTTATAAATTTGTCACCTCTGTCTTCTCCAAATAGTCCTAGATTCTTTTTACTAAAATGAGTTGACCAGACTGTTGTGATTAATATTGATACAGTGCCATTTGGGAACCAGGGTTTACATTCAGAAGGGGTGTGACATATTGATTTGCTATTTCTGTCTATGACTATAAAGTGCTAATACTTCTCGGTACAAATTACAGGGTTATTAGTTCGGTGCTTATGATAACCTGGCGGGATTCATTCATTTTAACTGTCTGGGTCAGTTGATTAGGTCAGTTTATGCACGTATTTTTAACGACTGAGATCGATGTTAACCCAATTTCGGATTTTCTACGTACCTATAACTCTGATGCCAGGCATTTAAGTTCACGAACATGTATTGCCCATATTATACACCGACCCCGATTTTTGAAATATTACAACTTCCAAAACTGTAAAGGCACTTTCTTTCAATCGCTTGGCACAGTTCTTACAGTATTTCAACTGGTTCAAATTCAGCATCTGTCACGGGGTATGGTTTGATAGGATACATTATTGACTGACTCCTATATGAGGCTAATCATATAAAAGTTGGTGTCTTGAATTCTACAGGGGATCGACCAACTTTAAGTATTCAGAATTATTAATTTAATTGCACGGGGATTGATGACTGCGATTGGTTTTTAAAATTTGTATTATCTTTGGTGCTACTTAAAGCTTATTCAAGTAGTTAGTAATGTTAAGTTTAATTTTTTAAGTCTTCAGATTTGACATTCTTTTTCAGTTTCATATTAACCTTACGCATGGAATCGACAACATCTCACCATATTGTCCTAAATATCCACTTACTATGATGATGTTTTACTGCTGTGATTGTTTGTTACTATTTAATGTGTACAAATTGAGTTGTTTAAAATGAACTAATACTTATTAGGTTCTTTTTACGTCATACAAACACTATTCAACCATTATATATACATCGTATATGCACTGTGAAATTCACTTATCAGTTTTAAGATCAAGTAACACAGCGATCACAGTTTTATATGAAGTACTAGGGCTCATGTTTCGTAAAACGTGTATTCGTTTGCTTTGGATTTAAAGATCACGCAGTAGCAAGGTGGTAAATCAAAGCTTATACGTAGGACCGTAGTTAGAACACGATTTTTTCACGTACTATTTTTAAGAAACTTGATAAAGCATTAAGCATGTTTGATTCTATCATTTTTTTAATAATTAATGTGACTGTCAGGATTTATGAGTGTTTAATTGTTCCAAAAGTACTTTCGTAGATGCAATTTTCTTAGACATTGATTAATAATAGTAATAATTTCAAGGTTGGTTGTGATCAAATTATCATTTTTTAACACCTCAACTTATCTTTGATCAAGGTTATGCGTGGTTTAACTTCTTTGGAACAAGCAGATAACCGCAATAGTGATTCTAGAACGCTTGAACGCAACCAAGAACTGACTCGTAAGCTTTACTTACCTAGCGCGAAACATGCTCCAGATTTAGTCATGGATCTTCCCATTTCAACAGATTCTAAGGTGCAAAAATGTACACCATCTCCCAGTTGCACTCATGAAGAGTCGGCTGACAGTTTTGCTGAACATTTCGCCGAGCAAACTTTGAATACAATGCGAAAGCGCTCTGAAACCCAATCATCACCACAATCGTCAGTAACTTCAAGCCAATGTCCCGCCAGTGACGGTGGTAACTCAAGCTATGGAGAACTTGGCAAAGTTATTCTACGGAGTAAATCTAATCATACAGTTCAATCGGTAGAAGTTCCTAGAAGCTTGCCCCGTTTGAATAGAGCAAGTTCTGAAGAAAAAAAACATGAAATACCACAGACTGCCGATGAACAACCGACTAGTGAACCGAAACTTTCAATCGCTGCTCGAGTAGCAGCTTTCGAAGCAACTAAATCTGATCCATCTGGTTCTTCCATAAACTTTGCTCCAAAATTAGCTCCTAAACCTAAAAGAGGTTAATTTTGCTGTTGTTTTTACTTAATCCTTGTTTAATTGATTGATTATGCTCAGCATTTATTACTTGTCAGTTTATTATTCGAGGTGATTTGTACAACAAATATTATAAGAATATAATTGCTTCAATGACCGTATAATCTGATGATGAATTATTCTGTTTTTATCCTTTGGAATATTGTATGCCTAATTAAAATATATGAGTATAAATATATGTCAATAACACAGTGCTTCCTTCCTTCTTTAAGATTTCTATCAAATTCTTCATTATTCTGCCAGTTTTTCTCAATAAAATTATTTCCTTTGAATTGATTTTCATTCTTAAATTTGGTAATACCTAACTTTTACATTGATGAAAACACAGTGATTTTAGAAATAATGTGTTTTATACACTTAATATTTTTAATTTTTTTAAATAAAAAAAAATACGAGTAGACACTACGTATTCGTTTTGATCTCTTGAAATACTTTTATTTCTATAGTGTGAAATTCTTTACGTATGGTTGGCGTTTTCTGATATCCTTATTAGTAGTAATAATATTAATAAACAGATCTGTGTGTCATACGTACTCCTATAACCAGATCTTAATACTCCGTTTCGAAGTGTAAATGCATCACTGATACTTTCTTATTTTATCGTTTAACCGGATTTCAATCTCTTCTTCCTTTACTACACATGTTTTTCGTTTTTTTCCTCATTTATTCTACTTTTAAGGGTGTACACATAATATTTATATATGTAACACTTGGCTCAATATTTAATTTTATTGTAATTTTTTGCATCTGCGACTTTTTTCGTGCTAACTTTTTTCCCTATTATATTGATCCCTAGTTGTTAGCTTTCAGTGTAATTTTTAAAGGTTAGTGTGACGCTGGTTAAATTAGGGGTAGTGTCTAGTTCTATTTGTTGTCAACAAAAGACTACTCCTACCAATTGTAAACATTCATATGCATATACAAATGTGAGACATTGTAGTGTTATTACCTATCCCGGTATTCCAATTTTATTTTGTTTTAGTCTTACGCGCATGTATGTACACTTAAATAAGATTATTGATGTACTTCCTTTAAAACTAATTCTATGTTGAGTGTTTTGAGTTGTTATGCAAAAATTTTACGGATATTGAATCAGTTGGTTTTATATTACTTTTGCTTATAACTAAATATAAAAACAAAAAGGGCTTCCAGGAATCAAATAACTGTCCACTTACCAATCGTGTGGTGTTAGTAGTGAAAATAAGCGTTTAAATCCTTGTCTCTTTAGAATAAATTACCTGGAATCCTTGTTGGAAAAACGTTTTATGTAAGTCAAGAGCGAATGCGAACTAATGGCATTAAGTAAAATGTCTGTGTTATAATTATGAAGTTGAGAAATTTTAATCATTCAATCAACAGCAACATAATAATCCAGACAACCGTAGAATCACTGTTAGAAAGAATTGGTGATACGGACTCATGAAAAGTCCCAAGCTATTAACAGAAGAGTGGCTGTTCTACTTGGATTTGATGTTTTTACTCCTACTAATCTCTTTAAAGTGTAAAATCAACCTACTGTAGAACCCCAAACTATGAAAAAATAACTGTCTACTTCTTAATAGCTATTGGGGTGATGTTAGTTTAGATTTTCATCGAACCGAATAGTGACTTGGTGATCACTAAAGATTAGCTAAAGTTCTGGAAAATCGTCAACCATAGATTCAACAGAATAGGCAATGATTAACTGCATAAGGAAAGGTGGTTCAATTATATATCTTATATGGTCAGTAAGTATAACTGACTGATAAGTGTTTAGATTTTTTAGTGTAACAGCAATAGGTCTATGTACTTAACTTCAGACCATATAATAAAAGTTATATAGACATTACTCATAGGATTTCTCGGTGGTGGGATAAAGCATGTCGTAGAACGAAAATTTGAGTCATAAATGGTTTATGTATTCTGAGTAAATGGCTCCAAGAACGATAATTTTCAGCAACTTCTGACTGAGATTTACAAAATCGTACTTAAATAGATTCAGTCATTCTTCAAAATTAGCACTTACAGTTATCAGTCTGTGAGGTAGGAAAGTTTTGGTGTATGCTGCGAATCGGTTAGAATAACCATATTGAACAATTTATGCTTTTGTTAAGCCAATCGGGACATATCACTAAATCACTTTTCCACCGTAATGTTAGGTTGCACAAAAATGTACATGAAGTGCGACATTCCTGCTAAATACTCATTTTTCACAGTCAGACTATTGTCTTTCGATATTCCACGGCTCACTGAGATATAAAGTTTTGAAGAGAGGCATATTCACTGTTGATCTGTGTACTATCAGTGCACATCCGTCCACGTTATCGTATTAATCAGCTCAACAAAAGCGATTTCGTTCAGAAATATATAAAAGAACCTGCCAATGGATTTCGTACAGAATAGAACAATATTGCGTTTATCTACCAGTTTAGCACAGTTCATTATATCTACTGAAGAGGTAGAAGTGTATAGACTTTACGACTGTGTTTTACGCTAAATAATTACCCAATAGAAACGGAAATATCATTTTGGGTCATCATTCACTCTGATTATAACATTAGATTAGGTACAATGCGATTGATATGACCAAGATTAATTCTGGAAAATATTACCATTCAATAATTATGAACATATATTTACAAACACTGTACAGAAAATATAATCAAGACGAATCATCCATGTCAGTTTCTGATGTCATAACAACATATTCACGTGTCGAGAAACCAAACTTGATTACATCTTTTTCAAGGAGCTCATAGTAACGACGCGATTCTATTCTGTTATTGTTCAAATAAGTACCGTTTGCTGACTCCAAATCGATGATATACAAGCGAATCAGGCCACGAACCTGAATGGAAGAATAAATGTACAATGAGATGCAGAGAAACAACAAATGGTAACTTATAATTCTGGTTTTTTTGCTTTACTGTTTGCGTGCGCTGACCACAAAGTACTCAATCACCTTTGAAAATGCTTACCACTAAATGCTAATCAAATACTAAAAACTCCTGGCAGAAGAACCAGTGGTTGGTCCATCTTTTTACTTGTCTGTTGGGTAAATGGAAGGAGACTACACCGAAATTCATGCATTAAACAAATATGCAATGGAAAATCCAACTGAAGAAAAAAAACTCCTTTGCAATTAGAAGTATCATATTATGATTATTGTCATTATCATCATTATCGTAAAGCTGCAGAGAAACGAGGTACACAACAAAACGGCATTCCAAGTCAGGATTTTTTAGATTTATTTATAACTGACGTGCAACAAAGAAACATGAAACCTACTGCTACCTGGTCTTATAAACAGCTTTTAACCCGTACTTTATGGTCCACAGCTGAAATCCGCTAACTTGTTTTACTTCAGTATGTTGGGACAGCTAAATATCGAAATTCAATTACACAGAAGAAAAGTTCCTTATATTTTATGTTCTCACCTTGGTTTATAATTCCAAGTCCTATTTTTTAAGATGAACTACAAGCTTATGCTTTTAGAATTAAAAAGAGATAAGTATGTTCATAAACTGCATCAACTATAAGGCGCAACAAAGCAAATGCGAAACAATCGACGGCAAGTACTAAGTAGTAGTTCTTACTAATAACTTCGACTTTACATTTTACTTGTACCGTCGTTAAGTACTTTTATCACTTTAGGAAAGTTCTCTTTTACTGAAAATTAAGGTGATTCGTAGCATTCTGATTGAAATTCAAAAGGTAACTGAAAATTATATTGACCGAGTAAACATAAATACTACTGCTTAATTTATTGTTCATGACAGAAATATCTAGCAAAATACGCCACCAACATTAATGTTAAACTTCTAACTTACAAGTCTATACTGCAAAACAGCATGCTGTTTCGAAATACTTGGATGATCCATAGGAATGTCTGCAATTTTTCGATCGCGGCCAATTAAGAATCCACTTTGTCTATGTATATGCAGTACGGATAATGTTTTATTCCCCTTGAAAGCATACAATCTCCAATGTGTGGTGGGTTTTCTAGCATCTTCTGGTTCATTGTATTTTATCACAACACCTTTAAAAACATTTGTATCCTCCGCAAGTTTGCCTTTCAAACAGAAAAAAGGGAAACAACTTAATTACCTAAGACGAAATGAAACGTGAACAGAAACCAATGTAAAACTACTAAGTACGTCCAGTTTGACTGGGAAAAGTTCTGTTAACTAGAATGCCAGGCGATAATTTCAGTATTTGTATTTGTGGCAAACTTGATTAACTGAAATGGCATACAATCGTTTTCCAGAAGTGGTTTGTACATTCTTACAACTATACCACAGGAACTAAACAAATATATTCCATTTACCTACGATTGAAGTAGTACATTCAGTATTATTACAGATATATGAAACCAACTAGTATCTGACGGGTTTGCAGACGTTGACGGCTTGAACCACCGTTGACGAATCTAAATGCTTATCAATGATTTAGTCATAAGCTCCATGTTGTGTTTTGTGAGTAGGCGTCGACAAACAGTGTAGGAAAGCTAGGTAGTAAATCACGTGGGCCCAGATAGTATTTCAAGTGTCTGGGAGTTTTCAAAGCAAGTCCAATTAGTTCCTGGACTATTGGTAATGTCTACGAACGACCTCAAGGACAGTAGAAATATGTATCTTTAGAATTTACGGAATTAAGAAAGCGCTAGCATCACTGGTGTAGACACATTTACAACCTATTTCTTGGTAAATTTTGAGCACCATGCTTCCACATACTGCTTCGCTAAAATAATACAATGACGTGTCATATTGTCATTTATTCACCATCTTAATAAGCTATGAGACCTGGTCCTAGCATGACAAATAAAGTCACCGGTAGATATTCAGCTAATAGATGTGTGACGAAAGTGGGCCCGAACTACTTAAGTCAGACAATTTAATTAACTAATGGACACCTCTACATAACTAACTTTTTTAACTATTATTACTGCATGATTTCGAAAGCTAACAAATCTCTCAACAAAGGGATATTTA